GTTCTTAAGGCTGAGTTATGATGGCCGTAACTGTTAACTTATGCCAGAACCGGTAAAGTTCGATACTGGGATTTCAATGCTTTCGTTCATAATGGGTTTCTGAACGAAAGCATTGAAATCCCAGTATCGAACTTTACCGGTTCTGGCATAAGTTAACAGTTACGGCCATCATAACTCAGCCTTTATGGATCAGAGAGTAATCTAATAAACAGATTGCAGTAATAATGTATAAAGTGCAGCTACATACTTTCACGATATCGAGAAATTCTATATTATGAGCAGAGTTCCGTTTTTAATTCATATTACCACTCTTTCTTCTATTGACTGTATTAAGAAAATAATCATTTTTCTATATTATACATATATACTACATTTATTATATGTAGTGCAAAGAATTTATTGTTGCATGCAATTGTCACATAATAATGTGACAAATAATTTTCGGACGTAGACGAAATTTTGTAACACAAATATTCACATTTTTTACAGCACAACGATTTCTAAATTACTTTTCTCTTCTTTTCATGCAAGAATAACTCGCTGACATTTCCCCGATTGTTATGATTTAACCTAACAAGTGCAAAAGGACTCATCTCGTACAGTTCAGACAGCTCTTGACAATTATTTACGTAAACAACGGACGAACATTTGGGTCCAAATTTAAATATCCTACATACAAGGTGTTAATGAATACCTGTAACAAACTTCTAAGACATGTAGGGGGTTTAAAGTAGACCAATTTTTAATAAGGAACTCATGTCCGGAAATGTACAGTTTACAAGATGCAGACTGAAACTGTTGGTATTTTAATAATAGGAATAATTTTCATAATAACTTTATTTGCTTACATTACATTTCTAGAATGTTTAGCAATGCAAAACTGGCTACAATAAATGCTCATAGATTTGTTGGAAGACGTCCCAAACAGCAGCAAGTCTATTATTAGTTGCCAACCATTAGTGAACTGTCAATCGGCAGAAGTGTAAAGTCAACTTCAAAGTCAAGCTGAATGTCTATTTACAGTAGAACCTCGGTTATACGGCCTTCGATCAACCGAGGCTGCGCGTTATCCGAGCCACCGGACTTATCCGAGCACTCCGCGTTAATCGAGGTGTGCGCTCGGATATTTTTGCTTAAACAAGCATAAATTTTAATCTACGTTCGTTAAATTTTTACTTTTATATGTTCATGGAGTTAAATTCCATTGTAGCATTTTAAATATATAAAAAATAATATTATAAAAGTTTTCGAATTTTGTGTTTCTTCCGTGTTATCCGAGTTTTCGCTTGTCCGAGGTACCCCCTCCCCACATTACCTCGGATAAAAGAGGTTTTACTGTATATCTCCATATATATCCCCATCATCATCATCTGAATGTACAATGGATGTTATACATTTAGAACCACTTGCTTTTAAAAACCGACAAAATTTTTCCCTTACATCTAGTTCCCTTTCACCATCTTCAAATTCAACTTCTACGATTGAAAATAAAAAGCAAGCAGGCGAAGATGTTTTTGCAAAGCGTGGTGGTGGAAGGAAACACGGGAGAACAACTATTATGGAGGAAGCAGTGGAAGCATTAAAAAAAATAAGCAATGAAAAAATGCCACAGGTTTTGCAATCACCACCTCAAACTTCTAAAACTGCTGATGCTTGTGAATATTTGGGTTTATTTATTGCTGCTCAATTGAGGGAAATGGAACCAAATAAACGTTTCCGTTGTGAAACAGAAATAATAAAAATTCTCACTAATTACGACTATTAATTGAAATACGAGAGAAGAACCCGGGAAAAAATGGAGGAGATCTGACCATGTCTGATTTGATAAAATGAGATACAACGAGATCTGAAATTATAGTAGAGTCAGATCTGATTGGAGACAATTTTATCTCGTCAGATCTGCATGGCCAGATCTGATCAGATCCAGCCAGACATGTTAAACTTTAGTCCGATTTCACAAGATCTGACCATTGCTGCTGTTCGATATTGAATCGTAAGTCCAGTCGGATCTCTTCTGATCTCCTGAGATACGCATCAGATCTCACCAGGTTTAGTCAGACCCAACCAGACATATGTTGATCTCACCAAATCTGATCATTCTTAGTTTGCAAAGTTGGGTTGCTGATCGAATCAGATCTCTTCGGATCTAATCTGACATCAGATCTTCTAAAAGATTTGAGCAGACATTATGCGTCAGATCTTTTTAGATCTGAGCAGATCTTTCCGGATCTGAGCAGATCTCGACAACATAGAACTTACAAAAATTTCGTTCTCATCATTATAGGTATTACTTTTTACACCCAATATTGGGCATTATATGAAATATAGATAACTCTGTGAAGGGGGAGTTGTATGTATTTAATTAAATAAATAAATATATATATGTATATGTATACACACATACAAGGTGGGCTATTTTAATCTGTCCACTCAAATATCTCAAAACGTTCAAGTTTCAGAAGAAAATATTTCAGACAAAAGTTGTGTGGTTCCGAGGGAGACACAAGATGGTGTCATTAATTTGACCTTGAATAATTGCTTGAAGGTCACATGGAGGTTACATGACCTTCAAGCAAACATTCTACTAATTAATATGAACAACTTCTGTCTTAAACATTTTTTTATTTGCTAATACTTTTTGAGATATTCAAGAGAAAATTGATAATTTTTTCAATATTTAGCTTATAATATCTCGATAACTGTTTGTTGGAGGGAAAAGTAATACAAAACTTTTTAACTTGGTTTCGTTTCAGGAATATACTGTTGCAATAGTGCTCCAATGCTCCAAATATTGAAAATTGTGTACATACACGTAACATACACAAAATTTACATACACAAAAATTTTCAGTAATTGGAGCACTATTGCAACAGCATATTCCTAAAATCAAATCAAGTAAAAAAGTTCTGTAATATTTTTCCCCCGACAAACATTTATCGAGATATCATAAGCTAAACATTGTAAAAGTTATATATTTTCTTTTGAATATCTCAAACAGTCTTAGACAAATAAAAAAATGTTTCAGACAAAAGTTGTTTATATTAGCTTGTAGAATAAGATAGTGTAATAAACAATATAGTCTGTTCTATTTAAGAAATTGAAGGTGACCTTCACGTGACCTTCAAATAACTCTTCAAGGCTAAACCAATAGTACCATCTTATATCCCGATGCCCCCTTGGAACGATACAACTTTTGTCTGAAATAGTTTTGTTTGCTGAGCTTAGTTTTTGAGATATTTTACTGTCCAAGTTAAAATGGAACACCCTGTATATGTGTATATATGTATATACAGGGTGCTTAGCAACTTTTTGACCGCCGTTTACGGGAAAGTAGAGAGGACTAAGACAAATAAAATAGTCCTCAACCATTTTCCACTTGGAGGAATAGTTATCAAGATATTGATATTCAAAAATCGCTGTATTAGCCCGACCTACTGGCAAATGTAAGCGCACTGTGAGATGCGGAGTAGGAGTAGGAAGACTTATGAAAAAAGTTGACCGCTGTGCGAGCGGTCGCGTAAGCGGCGGACGGATAGCGGCGCGCCTATCTACCTACTCCTTGCCGCGCACCTCGAGCGGCGGCCGATGGGCGGGCGGATTTTACCGCGCGCTTACATTTGCCAGTAGGTTGGGTCAATAAAGCCATTTTTAAACATCAATATCTCGATAACTATTCCTCCAAGTGCAAAATGGTACAGCCCATACAGCACGCGTGTCTAAAAGACATCTTTAAGACATCTTTAAGTCATCTTTCAGACATACATATCTAAAAGACGACTTAAAGACGTCTTAAAGATGTCTTTTAGATATGCGTGCTGTATGGGAGGACTTTTCTGTTCGACTTAGTCCTCTCTATCTTCCCGTGAACGGCGGACAAAAAATTGTGGAACACCCTGTATATAGAAAAATTTTTTTGTTAATGACGTTCATGGAATAATTGAGAAAGCTTTTTCAAAAATATCATAATATCCCAGGTAGAACATAAAACTCATAATGACGTCTTAATGACGTCATCATGATTTAATTCATCACTTAAAAGTTACCCAAACAAAAATGATTGAAAAATAATTTAAAAAGGACACAAAAAATCATAGATTTTAAGTACATATTCAAACACATATTGGTACTTTTATGTTATAGTTAAAAGAGAGTTAAAAGAGATAATTAGAGAAGAATTTGTTAATTTTTATATTAACATGATGTACTTATATTATTCTAATATGACTGTCAGAATTTCTCTTTTGAACTACTTCTATTTTTTTTAAATCATTTTCTGTTATGCACGCGCAGTTTTTTTAAGTTGCTTTCCCATTAAAAATAACTATTTTATTTTAATTTTTACATTATTAACACATGATCTCTTAAAGTACTACATTTTGTGTGTAATAATGTTCATTATTAGTTATTTATAATAATAATATGTATACTCGCTAATAATACGTATAATGCAAATAAATTTCGTGTATCAATCAATTTGAGATAATATTCTTCTTTTTGGAGGTCATATTAATGTCACTATGATATCATAAATAAGTCACCAAAATATAGCCAAAAATGTATCAAATGAGATCATTATGATTTTTCCAAAATGACTTTTAAGTGATGTCATAATGATGTCATTATGAGTTTTATGTTCTACCTGGGATGTCTCTACACAATCATTTTAATCTTCGTTATTAATTTCCTTATATAAGGATAACAATTGTTGGACAGTAGAAATTTTCGCCTGCGATGGCTTACAAAGAGTACATATTGAATACACTTAATTACTAAGTTTGATATCAAAATGTACAATCTATTTTCATTTGGAGTTGACAACAAAGATCTAAATACACAGGCAGACAACTTACGAGTAACGCGATAATATACAAAGCATAGGATAATATACAGGGTGTATCATTTTAAATGATCGATGAAATATATCTCCAAAAATATGAAAGATACGGAAAAACTTTCCAAACAAAAGTTGTCTGGTTCGAAGGGGGATTGTAACATACAAAATTTACATACACAAACATTTTCAATAATTAGAGCACTATTGCAACAGCATACCCTTATGAAAAAATACACTCAATCATACGTTGACGGTCCGAAATAACCATCAAATTGAGTGTAAACCTTCATAATCGAGTGTTTCATGAAGGTTTACACTCAATTTGATGGTTATTTCGGACCGTCAACGTGTGATTGAGTGTATTTTTTCATAAGGGTACTCCTGAGACCAAATCAAGTCAAAAAGTCCAGTACTACCTTTCCCTTCGACAAACAGTTACCGAGATATCGTAAGCTAAACATTATAAAAGTTATAAATTTTCTCTTGAATATCATAAAAAGTATTAGGCATATCAAAAAATGTTTCAGACAAAAGTTATTCATATTAATTAGTAGAATAAGATAGTACTATATATTAAACAATAGGGGTTCCATTAAAAAAAATGAAGGTAATCTTCACATAACCTTCAAATGACTATCCAAGGTCAAGTCAATGGCACCACCTTATGTCCCCCTTCGAACCAAACAACTTTTGTTTGCAACGTTTTTCCGTATCCTTCATATTTTTGGAGATATTTGCGTGGATCATTTAAAATGAAACATCCTGTATATTCAAGATTCCCTCCCCCAATAAGAAGAGAATATAAAAATTTGAAAATTTAAACAAAAACAAAATTCGAAGTAATTATAGAAAGGGCCTAGACAAGGTTGCAGTGTTCAAAATTTTTTTAATTAAAATATGAAGTGAATAGACGTTTCGGTCCTAATTGGACCATCTTCAGTATATAAAAAAAGAAATATAAATTAGCGCACGACAGATAACAGAATACAATTGATACAAGAAATTACGCAGTCAATGATATAAAATACGAATAAATAGAGCGGTCATACATAAAAGGCGACGCACTATGTGTAACATAGTAATTTTTAAAACAAAGTTGAAATCGTGTTGATGACGTTACCAAAATGAAAAAACATAAAGTCAATTTTATAAGTAAATAAAATAAAATATTAATATGTGCACGCGCAACCACACTACTACTCCATATATTATCCTACTTATAAAAGATTCTTTTTAAAGAATCTCTGTAAAGATAAATTAACATCATCCGTTTGAGAGATAATTGCGAACAGTACATCCACATTTGTAGGCTTTCATCTGTGTTACATACATATTTTAACATAAATAAATAACATACATTTTTCCCTATTATTAATTAATCAACAATAATCAACTCACTTATTTAAACAGCATGTGTCACGAAAAAAATTATCTTTTCTAGAAACAATATATACGCGCTTGATGACACATATAATATATATGTATTATATACATATAAAAGTGCGAGAAAAGAAAAATATGTCAGAATCGAATTAATCATACGATCAGAATCTTAAAAGTTTGTGAAACGTGACAACAAAGTTTGCAATTAAAAAAATTAAATTTTTACATATTGAAGAAGCATAATTCATCGTATCTACGATTCGTCGTGAATCATCATAATACATCATAAATTTTGATAAAATATTGTACAAACAAAGATTATTTCAGCTTGTGTCTCTGACATTGTCTTTTTCATGTTACATGGACATAAGAGAGATAATCCTAGTGTGCCCAATATGCTTCCTTGGATAAAAAATAATAAAAAAAAGACACTATCTTTCTATTTTTACTTTTCCCATTTAATATTTAACATTTTTCATAAGGCAGCCATGGAAAATGTAAAATATAATAAATATAACATTAACAAATAGAATAATAAAGAGTAATAGATAAATACAAAGTAATTTATTTTATATCAACTCGTTTTATACATACCAATTATTTCTCTCTGTTTCGTGATTGATATATATAAGTTATATATTTGTTAAAACGAACATGTTTGTAATGTCAATATGTAGCCAATTCCGAGCTTAACTCTACGTGTCTTTTTGCCACTATCATATGTGTGGCATAGTGCACTATAAATCATCAAGCGCGTGAAGGTACTACAATGTTCCGTCAATAAATAAACGTATGTAGATTAAACATATTCAATCATAGTATCTAAGAGATAAATTAGAGATTATTCACCGATATAATCTGATTTATCCAGCCAATATATGAAGAGACTTTTACATATACACCTGGCACGTTTTGACGTCCGCAGCCGAATCCCCAGGACACTAGTCCGGCCAGTTCGTAGAAACCGTCGTCTTGACATACCAGAGGACCTCCACCATCGCCCTGTCGATCAACGTAATTAATTAACTTTCCGTTAGAGTATTTTTGGAGAAAGATCTTACATCAAACACAAGTTAGACAACTATCCTCTCATTAAATACATATTTTTCTGGGAATCACAGAAGAGCAAATATTGATACCTGACACGCATCATTTCCCTGTTCGCCGCCGGCGCAGAAACTGCTGGCTGGTAAAATGAAGATCTTTTCAGTCACGGCGTTTACTTTTCTTATGCATTCGGCATCACTGACGATCGGTATTTCAGCTTCGCGTACCCGAAGGGGTATAGGACCGGCTATGAAACAATGCCACATGTTGTTGTGTAAACAGCAAAATATATCTTGGAGAAAAGAATGTACAGCATCGATATATGAAGATATGACTTACCTTCTCCCATATATCCGTAACCAGTAACAGTGCATCTTTTGCCAGCCGTATGACTAACACCCCGTGCCGGCAGGCATACTAAGCAGACACCGTCCTTCAGCTCAGCTTGACCGTGAAGCTTCAGCAGAGCAATATCGTTGTCGAGCGTCTGGCTGTTGTGATTGTGGTGGATGTACGTTGTTGCAACGCGCAAGGTCTGAGCACCTGGGCTTCCATACTTACGGGTGAGATCGTGATCACCCACCCTCACGTAGATCGCGTCACCAGACCTCACAATGCTGGAAATAGGAACAGTTTTTCATACTTTTCTTCAATTTTCTGATTTGTTCTACGCGTGCGGGAGACTTATGAATGTAAGCACTTACGTACGCGACAGCGTATCCAGTAAACACCAATTAACAGTACAAAACATCAAAATTATAATTTTCCACTTAACAATATAAATATAATATAACACATATTGTGTACAACATTACACCGATAAATAGGAAATTACAATATTGATGATATGTAACTGTTGGTGTTTACTACAGGGCAATATTTACTCACTTTGTGACGCAATGCGCTGCGGTGAGGACCCACTGGGTCCCAATCAGTGCGCCTCCGCATAGATATTGATTGAGAGAATTTATCAAAGCAACCTGCCAACACCACTCGTTAGCATCCGCATCCTCGCCACCTACAACACGCGCGACTCTTTCGGAGCTCCGTGCCTGAATCGGGCCGCGTGAAGTTCCTTTCACGCCACAAACGTACTTATTGTACATCGGACTTCTAGTGGTAGTGGTGACCGTCGTCGTCTCATCTGTGAAATTGATAATCCTTTAACGTATAGTGTAAGTCTCAGTTGCACACAGAATAAATCGGACACAGCAAGTTGAATAAATTGAACAACGGCCCGATTGGACACAGGAAGAATCAGACAATAGTGTCAATGGTCCTTTCCAACGTATACGAACTGGTCCATCGAGTAATTTATCCTGGTTTTCATCAATGCTGTTAAACTTTGATCTTATTTTAATTCATGTCTCTTCCTAATGTCTTGTCTCTTTCTAAGGGACAGTGACCGGTGGATGACCGCTATCCTGTCCGACCAACAAAGTCAAACAACGTCAAGCATATGTTTCAAACTTGGATGGATGACAATAATAGCGGCTATTTGCATACGGTCGCAAAAAAGTTGTTAGTTCCTTGATAATCTTTAAATCCAAAATTTCTTCATGATAATTTTTTTTAGAGACAGTTACTCAGATAGCCAGTGTGAGCACAAGTTGCTTTCACATTACTAAGAAAAATATTAACATCTTGCTATGCATCTATGTCGTTTATTGTGTTGTTGTTTGCTAGCATTTAATGTCAGAAATAAGACATTTGCATGATCCAAACATTATGCTAGCATTAATAATTGAATCAACTTATCCTGATAAATTTCACAATTCCTACTATACATATAGTTTGTAGTCTTACAAAGTAACAATAAAATTTTGAATTCCCAATACTTACACGACGTAGAGAGCGGGGTGGTGTAAGGTTGCGAGGTAACATAAAACGTGTCGTTTCTATTTGACAGAACCGGCTCTGTAGAATTTCCACCATGGAACTCCCTTATCAAAGATTTCGGTGCGCAGCATTGATGTCCCTGTTTCTTACACTTGAACAAGTTCGTCAGCTCGGCGTTGTTGAAACAGGTAAACGACAAGTATGATACGATGCAGGAACCTGGACAATCCGGACGTGGGTCTGGTGGTAATGATACTGTCGGCGGTCGCAGTGTCGGTCTCGGCCTTGGTCTCGGCGTCTGGAATGTAAATAACGAGAGAATCAAATATTATAGTAAAGTAGATTTGAATGCTAGTATTAATGTAATGTTTACACTCATGTTAATATTTTTTAAACACTATAAAGATATGTTATGTAGGTACAAACATAAGCAGGAACGAACCGCCAGAGCCACAGAATCATCGCTAGCCCGTCTAATCAATGAAGTTAAGCAATGTCGATCATGGTTACAATTTGGATGAGTGACCGCAATTTATTTTTGTTATGTTTGTGAGATACATGAAGACAATATGAACTCAGAATGCATACATTTTGCTGTCTGGGACAGTTAAGATGTAAGAGTATAATAATAAATCACACTCTTGCACCAGTTTCGATTTTTAATAACCACATCTCGTACATTTACATTTTCACGATTGAGGCACTTTTCGCATTATTCTTACAAATTAATCGACAGATATCGGACCTAAAAGCGGTATCAACTGGTGCATTAATTACCTGAGGTGGACTCTTTGTATTATCGCAGCAGATGGAGCCGGACTGGCAGGTTGACGTTTTCGCTATAATCACATTAGGTCGCTCGCAGAAAGCTGCCATGAGAGTTAACAGGCAAAAACCAGGGCACGGCGGTAACTTTGCTTGAGGAGCTTTCGTGGATGGCCGGATTGTCGTTGTCGTTTCCTGTGTAAACAATACAATACCCTTTATGCTGTTGCGAACAATTTCCCCAAAGTACAGTATAGCTTTTCTGGTGAAAATTTTTCTTATAATCTCATACATTTTTTTTAAATTTTTCTATAATTTCTATAATTTTATAATTTTTTTTAGAAAGTTTTTCAGAATTATTTATAAAAATACTCCTCTGTTAAGAAAATTCTAGAATTTCAGCTAAAAAAAATTTACTTTTCTAGAACTTTTTATGTAAATTCTAAAATACACTGCTCAACAAAAGTAAAAGGTTACTTAAAATAAGAGCAAAAAGTGTCAAAGTCAAACTCGCGTATGTTTGTCAAAAATTGTTGTAAAACAACATTCGAAAAGTGTTTTAAAGCTTGGAATCTCAGCTTTCTAATATTTCCAGGCTCATTTGTCTACAATGATTTCACTGGAGACGGAACTACTTTAAAGCAAACCTTGAAAACTTAACTTTTAAGATAAATAAAAGAATAAACTTCAAGTTTGGCGGCGTGCACGGTGAGAATAAAATTTCATAATCTCAAAATCTGAAAAAGTTGAGGTACTTTTTTAGAAATCTTTATAAATTTAAAATATTACAAACTTTTTAAATATGAGTTATTATGAGAAATTTTTTTCGCCGGAATTAATAATCCTTCAAATAACTTTGAGATAATTATTTCAGGAAAAATTGATGCATTCGCGAACGACAACGCATCTTTCGTTGAAGTGATCGCAATTAAATTTTATTACCGGTTTTTGCGGTTCGCTGATGCAGCAAACCGTCAATACAGAGTCATCGGGAGGACAATCCGCGTCGCCGTCGATGTTCTCGCAAAAGAGGGCAGGCAGACCGCTCGTGCACTTTCCTTTGCACGGTTTGAACGGCACTGGTTTTGGCCTCGCTGTCGTTGTTGCCGTCGACGGCTGTCTAGTAGCAGCCATAATCGTTGACATCATCGTCGTCGTAGTCGTCATTGTCGTCGCGATCGCGGTGGCGGTTGCAGAGATGTTCGTCGACGAAGACGTTTTCGGCCGTATTGTTGTCGATGGGGACAAAACCTTGTTGGGAGCTCCGCCACCGTTCTTCTCGTCATAACGGGAGGAGTTGAGCCGGTCAATCACCAGGAGCTCGGGTGGCGGAGTGTCTCCGAAAGCATCCCTGGATACGCAGCACTTGTAGCCCGGTTTGCAGAGGGTGTCTATCACTAGCACAGCATCGCAATAATCTGCGATTCTTTCGGCCATGCAAATACCTGAACAAGCTTTCACTGAAAAGAACCATTATTATTTCAATTCGGCTGATGTCTCGAGCAAAACAAAAAAGTATTTAAAAGTCAAGATGACATAAAAAATAATTATTTTTAGAAAGGCAAGATGAAATCATTTACCTAATATTTTTTAATGAAATATAATTTGACTTTTTTATTATATTTTGACTTTCAATTATTTTTTAGAGAGATCGCAAATCGCTCATGCATTCCAAATGATTAATATCTCGTAGATATTGTATTTTATGAATTTGTGTAAATATTTAATTCTTGAAGCATTGATATGAATCCTGAATTACCATTCAGAAGATACAAAATGAAAGCTCAAGAATATAAACCTTACAAAATATTGAATATTGTGTGTAACTTTATTACGTAAATCATATTCCTTTCATAATATATCATTTTTGTTAAAAAGAATATTTTGTACATCTTTTACACTTGTATTTCTTTTACACTATTCATTATTACCATATTTATGTTCTAACATACAATTATGAATATCTTAAATTTTAAATAATTTAACAATAAGTTCAAATTATTGCGAACTATGTCAAACAACATCTTTAAATTTTACAATCATGTACAATTTGATCTATTTTCCGTCATGATCAAAATGATATGATTTTTTATAGTTCGTATGATGTCACTTTGATGTTATTTTGATTTCATCATGACTTCTTGTTCTGCGTGGGGAGACATGCATGAGGTATATATAATATTTTCACTGTACTAAATTCTTGACGATATTGTATTAACGACACCAAGATTTTCTTTGCAATTGCTAACCACAATAGGATTTTGTTTTATGTTTATTGTATGTATAAAGCTACATAAACTACTACGAATAAGTTTTTTTTCTAATTACCGACGATTATTTAAACTGCATATGACAAATCAATTTATACTTCTCAAACATATCTACATATATTTAAGATGACAAGTTTATAATTTTCATCAGCGAGAAGATAAAAAAGCTTTAAATTAAAAATTAGTAAACAATATTAATGATTGAAACAATGATGCGTGTCTAAAAGATGCAAGTATGTTACCATGAAAAGATTTATATTTATATTTTACATAAAACGTTTACATACTTGATAACTTCTCGCTGGTCTCGTTGTAGCTTTCCTGTAAAACGAAAGGAATATATGAACATAATTTATAATTCTAACAACACTTAAACTCAGAGAAAATATATCATCCTTGATTGAAGATTTCTTTATAATTTCAATTTAACAAAAAAATTATTGTTCTCATTTATACAAAAATGCTTGTAATCACGATGTGATTCATAATTTAAAATAATTCTTTTTTCTACGAGATTTAGCACAGATTTTAAATATACAATATTATATACATATATCATTTCTAATAGAGAAAGAGGGGGGATTTGTGGAACTGCATTTTGTTTTTAGGCGATTTCTTGTATTATAAATTAGAATTGGAGGTTGGTTGCTCAAATAAAAATGAATTCAAATTTATAGAAAAGTATATAAATTAAAATGATAATATATATATACATATACAATATATATGAAATATACATATATGTAAAAAATGATAAAAATTTTATAAAAATAAGTGCAAATAATTCTATACATATTTACAAAGAATTTTGACGAATACTGAAATGACTTGTCTACGTATGTAGTTATCAAGAACATATATGTATATACATATATGTAGATATACAGGGTGTTAATAAATCATCGCATTGGCGGTATACCGTCGGATAGCGCGCGAAAATCTAAGAAAAATGCCGTTTGTTACAAGTCGATCCGATCATTACGTTTCGAGTAATTAATTATTGAAAATTAATAATTTGGGCCAATCAGCGCGCGAGCCCAACGGACAGGAGAAGAGGCGCACGCGATGGACACGCGATGGACATAAGTTGTTGGTAATATATATATCCCCTACTTTTTGAGTGTGAGAAGTTAAAAAATTCATAAACCATAGAATAACTTTTAAAAAAGTATTGAATTTAGAGGAAAGTCCTCTATTATGAAATAGGCTCCTAATATGAGATAGCGGAGTTTCTGCTAAATTAATAGGCATCATCCCACACAGCACTAGATGTCCTATGGATATACATTTTAAGTCCCATTTACGTCCATACGTCCCAGGACTTAAATGAAACTCAATACCGCGCGACCAAGCGCGCACTTCTCGGTCAAAATGACATTTTTCATTAGGGATTCATATAAAAAAATAGGAGGAGGAAGATAGGATAGGATAATGGTCCGAGTTTGCTACGATACATTACGATACAATAATTGTTTGCCGAGACATTCGCATGTGAATAAGAAGGCAGATTTTTACTTAGAATGAGAATAACTGCGAAAAAGCATCGTATCGAGATGAATAAAAAAGCATTTTAAAAAGAAAACTCTGTACTATTACATGCTTTTTATACCATTGACTTGCGACATTTAACTCACGCCATGTGCCGTGGCAAACTCAGATCATTATTTTTCGATTTCGCATGTTCTCGTTTTGTCATCCGCCATTTTTAATAAATGTATCTCGCAACATTAAAATTAATTGCTTCTTAAAGTAGAAATTTCAAGCATTATTTTGATTTCAACTTTTGTATTTTCGCTCACACAATGTAACTTTTTGTACATTTCTTGCTGTCACATCTAATAGGTGATACTTGAGAAGGACCAGTATTACTGGTCGAAACGTCGTGTATTAATTGAAAATATACTTTGCCAGTTATTGTCGATATAATCCTTTTATTGTCATTGGTTATACAGGGTGTACCGTAAAGGCCGGATCAACGCTTAAGGGTAGATTCTTGAGATCATTTAAGACGAAAATCCTAATACTAAAATGTCGAGGCTATAATAGTTTTTGAATTATAAGCATTTATAGTTGGCGAATCAGACCGCCTAAAGTTGGCGCGCTCAGGTGTGATACAACGCGAAGTGCTAAAGGCGAAAACTGACTGTCGCCCCTCTTGTTAATATCGACGTAGAGATTATTTATGCGAAGGTAAGATTGCTTTTATTGATATTTCTGCAAATGCGTATCGTGCAATAGTAACATTTTCTTTTTTTGAAATATTGGAAATGAACATTTTTATTTTTACGTGATACATAAAGCGCAAACTGTCAGATGACATTTCTTTCAGAAATCTGCTATTAATTTCATATCCTACAGGCAAAATAATACCAAATTTGCTGAACATACCGGTGTAGTTTTTGCCGAAGAGACGGAAGTCGACGTACTGAGCATCGTGGTAGTTGTCGCGGGCGTTGTAGAAATCGTCGTGATCTTGACGACCGTCGTGGACGTGGTTGAGGTAGGTTCTTCGTCATCGATCGCATTTTCGGACGAGCTAGTGCCATTTATTGGATCCTGCAGGCAACATCGCATACTCGTCGTGGGACATTGTACGTCCTCGAGGACATCGTCGCACATTAACGTCGCTAACGCATGCACGCATACTCCCGGACAGTCGGCGATCTTCGCCGTGCTTGTTAAAGAATTTAAGAAACCTGCGTACATAAATTACCTCTGCATATGTCTCGATCTACTTACGGCAAAATAAAATTGGTGTAATTTTAATTTATATTATAAATTAGTTCGAACTAATTGTAATTAAGTGATTGGGTTGAGACAAGAGTCTAAACGGATTTTGCGATAAAGCTAAATCATCGTGATGCAATTTCAATTGAGATTGATTCTGACGAAGCTTTTTGATATGTTGTTCCGAAGACGAAGCTTTTTAATATGAAGGTATATAATAGTATAGATTTAAAGCGTAAGAAATCACTTTTGGAAGCTAGAAAGCAAGAAAGAACAAACGGGATCTCAAAACTATTTTGCTGGTTTCAGAATCTAGAACGTGTATAAAATTATATAATTCTATAAATCTTGAATGATGTTTCTTCAGATGCATCTAATACATATAATTCGTGCGAATAACTCGCGGTCTATGACTCTTTCTGGATTTCTTCTTATCATATTAATATAGTCCACCAGTATTAATACACGGACCAAAAATGATGTTATATTAACAGTACTGGCTACTGAAAATAATCTTATTAATTTAATCAATAGTTTAATATCTAAATTATTTATATTAATAAAATTAATAATTTTTGAAAACAAGTTGTATTTGTTTCGTTAACATTGTTATCAAATTAACAATATCATTTTCAATGAGACACACTGCTATTAGTTAATGCTGTTCATATATTATATTTATTTTCCATATTGTGTACACCCGATGGAAATATTTTACTGAAATTTTAATTAAAAGAACGCAATGTAGGGAGCAATAAGAGCCAGACGCTAGATGCTAGGTGAATATAACAAATTTATATTATTTATTTGAATTAACAGTCAAACGTTTCGACCAACTCTTGTGGTCCTTTTCAATGACGATCGAAAGTGAAAAAGGTGAAAAACCTATCGTGTCAACATATATTTTTGTGTGTTATAACGGCCACAATTAGAATATAATATGATGTTGCATTATAAAAATATCGCATTATAAAAAGAGAGAACTTAGTAGTTATCAATTGCACATCTATCATCGTGTGCGCGACTTTTTCCTCCCTCTCATACAGTTATGGAAGTCCAACGGTAGAGCCATAGACCCACACAGCACCGAAATATTTCAGAAAGCTCTCAAAAAGCTGTCAATGAAATATGAAACCTTTCAAAAAAATATTTCAGACATGTTTCAGATACATGAAATGTCCGCGTAGATGAGATATCATAAATGTTTCTGAAATATTTCTGAAATGCTTCAGAAATATCTCTTAAATGCGTCGGAAATATTTCTGAAATGCGTCGGAAATATTTCTGAAATGCTTCAGAAATATCTCTTAAATGCTTCAAAAATATTTCTGAATGATTTCTATATTACATTTCAATATTAATTTCCAAGGTATCTTTTGGAAAGCTTTCAATGACATGTGATTTTGATGAAACGTTTCAAAGATGTTTCTGAATGATTTCAATTTTACATTTCAATATTAATTTCCAAGTTATCTTTCGGAAAGCTTTCTGAAACTTGTTTTGTTTTGCTGTGTGGGGCAATATTGTGTTTGAAATATTGTTGCACCATTGCATTTGCAATATGCAATCTTGCAACGTTGCAGCAATGCTGTTGCAGCTTTTGTGCTGTATGGGTAGTCACGCATGATATTTGTATGCAAATAACATTTCTAATGTTTATACAAATGCTCTGTATTGGAAAAAAATATAATATTATAAAAACAGTTTTTTTGTAAAAAATCATTTTCGCTGTAAAAAAACTTACTCTTATTTATTTTAAATTACTTTGTCGTAATTTTTTTTTTACCACTACAATAAATATATGTCACTACGGTTATCACTATATAATAAAATAGGTTAGAATCGTTAAAAATTTAACGCTATACCCCTTTTCATGGATTTCATCTGTCGCTAGCGACAATCGTGATCACATGACCTTTTTGTCGCTGAAAATGAGCGTCGAGTGTCAGCATGAAAAGGCACCTTAACGTACTACTAAAGATATTATACGAATGTTCTCAGTTTATCCTGTATTATCACAGAACATTCAGTATGAGTACAGAATATTCGAATGATATCATGTGCTGTGTGGGATTAGGTGACAGCTTCACATGCTGATATTAATTTCTCTTCGTTCTTTATATAGTCGTGAACCCCCCGCTTTGTTTTTATGCGTACTATAATCGTGCGGAAGAATTTTGTAATTTTATTAGAACCAATTTCAAATTGTTCACGATTAAAAAATTGAAAATTTCAAATACCAATATCTTTTTCATTAGACTTCTGACCTGAGTGTTTTAAGTATGAAAATGTTCTGCTATGCGGTCCGCGACTTATCCTGGCATTATTTTGTGCATAGAAGCTAATAAAAAGATTTACCAGCGCAAAACTATATTCGAATGTGTCGATAAAACAGATGACTTTAGGATCCTTTTAACGTCTGAACTGATAGGTGTGCATTAACTATACTAAGTTCTCTCCTTTTATAATGCGACATTTTTTTATAATGCAACATCATATTGTATTCTAATTGTGACCGTCATAACACACAATAATATGTTGACACGATAGATCTTTTCACCCCTTTCACTTTCGATCGTCATTGAAAAGAACCACATGAGTTGGTCGAAACATTTGACATTGTTAATGTTCAAATATAATAAATAATATAAATTTGTTATATCCGCACCTAACATCTAGCTCTTATTGTCCCCTACATTGCATTCTTTTAATTAATGTTTGGTACACAGAGCCTTAGAAAAATTATTGTTTTACTACGTAAATTTCAAAGAAAGAAATAAAGGAGACAATAATATTAATAAAACAAATTTTTAATACTTATTCAATAAAAATATAATACAAACAACTTTAATACAAATAAATATTTTATTAAAAGATAGCTTTTTCTAATTTAATTGTTGGATACATATCGGTTCTGATTCACGACACTATTGTTTATTTAAAAAACTTGGCGCTGCTAAACCGCCGAAACATACAATCTAAACTTATAATTAATTCTAATCCCTATTTCATATATTGCGTTCTGTTAATTAATGTTTAATACATAGAACCTTAAAAAGTTATTGTTTTACTATGTAAATTTTACTGAAAATATTTCCATCGGGGGTACACCACATGGAAAATGAATATAATGTATCAACAGAATTAACTAACAGCAGTCTCATTGAAAATAATATTGTTAATTCGATAACAATATTAACGAAACAAATACAACTTGTTTTAAAAAATTAATATAATGAAAATATAATGAAATTTTACTGAAATATATTTGAAAATCTCTCAATTGACCTGACCCTCTTTTATAATTGCATAAATATTTCATTAAAAATTCAGTGAAAAATTATCTTCATTAAAAAGTAACATAGTTTTAAGTTAAATTCAGTAAATTTCATAATATCTAAAAACATTTCATAATTTTTTAATTACTTTTCAATGATATACTTCAACTTTCCTTATATATTTCACAATATTGCGATTTATTTTGCGATACATTTAATTCTTCCTTCAATAACTTTTATTTCATTTTTCATCGATTTCATAATATTTTTAGCAAAATATTTTTATTGGGACAAAGATATATAAATTTTCCACAGTTTGCACTATCCTGTTAATTATTAAAAAAAAAGAAAAGATAGACAGAAGTATTGCGTGGAGAGATTTTATTGTAAAAAAAGCCTTGAAGGCACAAGTAATGGTGGCAATCGGAATTGTAACGGTTCCAAATTCTGAGTCAGTTAGACGCCTCGAGAAAAGAGAGGAAAGAAATTTAATAGATTCGAAGACGCGCTAAGACGCGGGTCGGGGTAAGGCCGGACGCGTCTTGGCCACAGAAGTAGGTGTTACCTCACAACTCGCGGCAGCAAGATTAGAGGAGAGCCTCTTACGAAATTACAACTGTCACCGTCGCCGTCCGACGTTAAATTGTAACTGTATATTGCTTACAGGGTGTAGTAGGGGCACTGTCAACGAACGGCAGAAATTCCTGCATACGTAATTTCACCGGCGAGACCACCTTTACAAAAGTGGTCAAGGATGACCGAGCTTGATCTTGACAGACGTGGAAAGCGAGCTAATGACCTGTTCTCCGCTGTTATCGGAACCCACTTTATGGAACCGGGGAGATTACGTCAGATTATATTTCACGGGACAAATGTTATGTAAAACCGTACACAGTTAGCTGGTAAGGGAAAATGTCTCGGTTCTCTTGACTATTAAACACTCCTGTAGATAAAAATGATCCTATACGTTAAAAGAAGTCTGATCTTAAAAGTGTATAAAGATCGACACAATTCTTATTTCCATAAATGTTAGAGAAATGTCTCTTAATCTTGGATATATAAAATTAAATTTCCTAAAGCTTAATTTTTTTATTAGAAATTGTGAATTAATTTTACTATATTGTTTCAAATTTCTCACCTGCCTAAGTTACAAAATATTTTCTCTTTCTTTTCAAATTAATTTCTTTAGATTGAGGATAATTAATCTCTCTCATTCTTTAACATATAAATCATTCAAGTTGTTGTTAAATTAGTTATTACCTTTGGTGAAAAATTCTCACAATATCTTATAATATTTCTAAGAATTTTTGTACCTTAAATTTATGAAGATTTTTTAAAAAGTAGCTCAAACTTCCTCAAATCTTATAAAATTTTTTCTGAAGTTATAAACTGAGAAAGAGAAAAATCTCAAAATATTTCAGAATTTACATGTAAAGAATTTTAATAAAATGTAGACTTTCTGAGAAAACCAATTTTCTAAATTATAAAATTACTATAGATTGCGTGAAAAATTCTAGTGTATGTAGAAATCCTAAAAAATTATGTAAAGAACTCTAAAAAAATTGTTTACCAGGGTATTCATTGGATCCTAAATTCATAGTATTGAACGCTACAAGCATCGTATATGCTTGCAATTTTCAAGATTAATCGCATTAGCATCGACGAGCGCGCACAGGAACGATTCTGATGATTAAATCGTGCGAATGCCTCGCACCGCCGCGTGTTAACGATCGATTATGGATGAAAGTTTAAGAAAAGTACCGCGATTTGTCACGCGTGATACCTTCCGCCAAGAAATTCGCACAGATGATCGTTCGACTCCCCCGACTGGTTTCACTTTGGCAGGCATAACGGACCAAACAAACATAACGGTAGTTAATGAGCGACTCGACTCAGGCCGCGTGTATAGCTGTCTTCGACGTCGCACGTGTTTTGTGTTTCGTCTAACGCCGCGATTAGATTTCGAATTCGTTGAATGATTACGCTTGCAACTGAATTTTCCATGAATGCGAATGTCGATCCAAGAGCTGGAATCTCAGAGGATATTTATTCTATCGAAATATTAAGAGATATCCGTTTTACTTTATGTGTTTATTAATCATCATTAAAAATATTTCAGAATTTTTACAAAAATGAAAAAAGAAGGAAAGGATAAGAAGAGAGAGTAGTTAACAAAATTTTACATAAAAAAAACACAAATATGTGTGTTATGTATGTTATGTCAATAAACGTTTTCTTTCTCTTGTATAATCTTCATTCGTATATACGAAAATAAGAATTAGAAAATAATCAAAAGAATCATTTTCGCATGGTTTTTTTACAAAAGATGAAATTTGAAAAAAAATTGTATAATGTAGTCATATACGTATAAATATAATAATTTCATACGAAAGTATTTTATTTTTTGTAAAAAAGCAATGCAAAAGTTATTTTTTAAACCATTTTTTATACAGTCTTCTTATTACTTTTCTATATGTATCTGAATAGAGATTATATGCAAGAGAAAAAAAAATTTACATATATGATATGCGATTATATATTTGTATGGTTTTATATGAAACATTTTTAATTTAAAAAATTTAAAAACATACGTCTATCAAAGAGAAAAAAGTAAAAGGGATCTGCTCACGCCATTTTCGTTTTCAAGTAACAATCATAAACAGAATTTTAATTATTCGTAGGTCTTGACGCAAGGAAAATACTTATTTCTAATGAGACTTTTTATTTTATGTTAAATAATTTGAGTCTGGAGCTAAAACGTATTTAACTTGCAAAAAGACATAAAAATATATAATAAAATATACTTGCAATATTTCTAGACTCTGTAAAAACTAATCAAAATTCAATTTTTGAAACTGTCGATATTTAATTGCGATTTTCATCGAGAGAGAGAGAGAGGGGGGAATTAGAATTAAATAATATATCTAAAAAATATTCATGTTTCGTAACTGCTTGGTATATGTACTGACTTGATAAAACAATCTGAAAGAGTATAAAATAAAAAATATGCAAAGAGAAAAAGTATAGTACAGCCCTAGTAGCACAGTGCATTGGCTAAACATTGGCCCAAGACAACCAAATATTGGGCCAATGTTTAACCAATGTATTGGTCAATGCACTGTGCTACCAGAGAGGTGTACAGTTTATAAACTATTGTAGGCTATAAAGAGGTTTATGTTTCGAATAAATTTATTATTTACATCTATATTATAATTCATTATTATTTCGAAGAATAAAAACCGTTTCGTGTAAAAAGTTGATTAAAGTGTGCACAAACTTTAGCGAAATGTAAGTAGTTTTATCCGATTTCCGAAGAATTTGGAAGCACCATGTACTGTTAAGTCGAGATCCCGTCATTACGAGCCTGTAAAATTACGTTATGTTTTCAACGTCACGCAATGTATGCACAAGTTCAATTAGGAATTCGCGCCTTAATTAGGATCGGTTTGTGCAATTTCGGTAAACCTTATTTTCTCCTCGCCGTGTCTCGCACAGGAAATTTGTACACTTTTAAGGATACTTTCTGTTATTTTAAAACTGGCAATTGCACGACAGTGTTCTTTTGCATAATTCAAGTTGAATCTTGCATTTTTGGCAATGAAGGTTTGGTCATAACTTTGTATCTCCGTAATTAATGGAGAGCAATAAGTAACAAAGTGGATTTTTTAAATCCTTCTACATGAAAGGATGCGATTATTCGTTATTTTTGATGAACTCAAAGTAATACATTTGTGTTTATCTAAAACAGGATTTTCAAGATGGTACTTAGAAAATATTACAATGTGTCGCCTTTCTAATCTTCTATTTTGTAAGTTTTTTACCACTAAATTATTTTATTACAAATTTATCCATACATAATAAATTTGTTTCGGAAAAAAAATGTTAAGTAGTAAAGGATTTTGAAGAGTAAAAAAATACAATTTTTTCATTGAAATACTCTTAAATTTATTCAACCCTTCTTTTAAAAGCTGATCAAAATCGGAAGAGGACACTTCCGTAGTTCCTTGTAAGTGGAAAAGGCAATGACTGATTTTGCTTATTGTAATAACGGTAGCGAAAAATCAGGCTGGCCGGAGGTCCGGCTGCGTGAATAATAAACAAATGGAATAAAAAGGTAAAGTCAACCTAGAACGTGGAGTAAAGACGAGCGCGTCGCTTCCTAGTTTTTAAGCTTACAAGCGGCAGCCTTGTTACCGCCAGCGAATCGACCGTCATCCGTATAGCGCTACGCAACTCCTAAAAGTGGAACAGTCGCATCCTTCCAGATTGTACCTATAAAAGCGTGCACCGCATACAGTCGACGCATGCGAATTTCTATTTCTCGAAGCCACCGTCGTCGCTACCGAGTAACTTTTTGTCGACCGTATATTACGTGCGCCGCATACGCAAAAATCAGCGGTTTGTCACGAGCCAGGAGAAGACGAAATTAGTCCAGTACAGGACAACTCTGATCTAAACGCACATCTCAATTAGTTTCTAACGATAGCGTTACTTCGACGTTACCACGATGGTATTGCGTATTTATGCACTATATACATTTGTATTCTGCACACGTATTGTACGTTAAGTAGTGTCGCGCATATATGTAGGCTGTTCCGGAAACTTGAGTCCTACGTTGATCATTTAGTAATGCATAACTGGTACAAGTTCTTTTTTTTTTCTTTCGTTAGACTCGTGTAAATTCATGATAATTTTTTTGGGGGTGCTATAAGACCAACAGTTTCACACAGGTGTAACAATGAAGAGATACTTACGGATGTATATAAGCGATCAATAAAACATTCATATGATAATCACGTAACAACATTGCTTGTCGGGAACGGTGCAGTTTATCGAACGTAACGGTCGTAAGCTTTCATAAACTGAACATCAAGTTTGCGCGCATCCTTCAGTCATTCGCGGCATATGATTATAATTTGTAAGAGATCATAAACTTGTACGCGATAAAACTTCTCTTATAGAGTCTCAGAAAGCTCTTCATCTCTTCGTCAATTTCACGTCGTCAGTATCAATCCTTCTGAACATTATATTAGTATTCTTTTTTACGAATATCCGTTTCATCGAATCTCTCCAATAATACATGAAACAGCGGTCAGTTCTTCAACGTGGACAAAAAATATTAATTCAAGCCACAAACTCTGTGTTTTTCTGATAAATTTCTTCCCCTACAAACTTTGTACAAGGATACAGTATCCTTCAACGTAACGTTTCAATCAGTTGCGAATCGTGATTCTTACCTGACAGGAAGGTACTAGCCAAGGAATCATCATCCTGCCCGCCAACTAATCCGATGAGCGCGAGCAGAAGGACGATGCCCCCGGGGGCGGCTCTCAATATCATTTTCAGTCTCCCTCTAGTCGTTTCCGTTTTTTTCTTCGATCGAGAGAAACGGCGAAAAAAAGGAACGAAGAAAAAGAAAATTGTCTCCAATATCGGTGCACTGTTTCTTCGCGCGACGTCCCGATCACGTACGTGTCAAACTGTCTCTCTTCACCGCTGAGAGTTCAACGATGTTCACAATGTTGCTCGGTACGGACCCACATCGCCTACCTCGGCTTGTTCGATGGGCACCGACTGGGTAGAGATCAGGGCCTACTTGTGGGTCAGGGTGTGCGATTCCCCACTTCCACGCGGTGGCGGGCCGGGAAGGTGAGAGAAACAGAGAGGAAGAAAAAGAAAGGAGGAAACAAGACGGAACGACGGTCAACCGGCTTTGTGAATGTTATCCGGAGGGGAGGGTTGTTGACAGGGGCGGTGCTAGCTGCGACTTTGGTTGCTCTCTTCGTTCTAACAAAACGCTGCAACGCGGACGAAATTGGCAGAATTTAGATCATTGCTTGTGGAACGAGTAACGCTTACGAAGAAAAATATTTCATTCGTATTTTAGCTTAATCAATTAGTGCGCTATTTGCAAAATTCGATTATTACGCAAAAAAAAGTTACTCGCACATCCTTTTTATTTTCATACATTTTATGAAGCTCTGAGTAATTTTTACTTAACAACTATGTGGGTGTTGCATGTTCCTAAGATATAATCTTATAGCAATTACATAGTTTTATATAGTCTTATATAAATTTTATGTATCTTCCATTCTACATATTTAATATATGGTGTTATGTATATATATACATGTTTACTATTCAAACGGATATAATTCTGTCACAATCTTGAAAATCTCTATAATACATTCTAAATAATTGAAACATTAATGTTTATAAACACACCACATATAGTACAACGCATAAATTGTCAAGTACAACATTGTAGACGCGCCTCATTATGTGGATCTGTTACTATACAATTAAATGCTGATAGTTCATTTTCTAATTATTAATATGATTTCATCACGATTATACTTCAACGTATAATTCATTGTAAAGTAATGTATCTCGGAAACTACACGTGACTCCCACATTGCTGTTGAGTAAAAATTATTCAAAATTTTATCCTTAATAAAATATGTCAAAATGAAAAAGATCCGTAAGGTGTAACCCAATTCGCATAATTACCCAATTTTTTCAAGAACTTGTGAAAATATTTGCCATTTCGAATGCAATTGTGCGTTGTGCGCAACCGCCTCATTTCACGACAAGAGACATGTCCTTTTTTTAATTTTACTCATCTCTGGTGAAAATTTTTCTCAGAATTTTGATACGAATTGGTACTACACTTTTCAGAAATATTGAGAAAGTCCACTTTTTTTTCTTAGAATTTTTCGTATATATGAATATTCTGAAACATTCCATTTCTAAGATTTCTCATTCTATAATTTCTGAAAAATTCTTAAAAATCTTTTTCAAATTTTATAAGGTTACGTCTAAAATGACAGAATAAGAAATCTTGGAAATCTCAGAATAGTTCAGAAATCATAAAAATTTCTGGAAAAGATATAAACTTTCTTGACAAGTGAAAAGTGTACCAAATTGTATAAAAAATCTGAAAATTGTTCAAAAAATATAAAATTATTGAAAAAATCTGAAAATTCTCAAATTTACATGAAAATTATAAAAACTTGTATGAAAAATTCTGCGAAACAATTTCACCAGAAATAGCTTAAGTCTGCATCGGAACGCTGGTACAAATTTTTTATCCAACTTTTTATAAATTTTAATATTTTTCAGATTTTTCAATAATTTTATTTTTTAGAAAAATTTTCAAATTTTTTATACAAATTGGTACACTTTTCAGAAGTTGCAAGAAAGTTTATATCCTTTCCAAAAATTTTCATATATATAATTTCTGAAATATTCTGAGATTTCCAAGATTTCTCATTCTGTCATTTTAGACAATAATCTTATAAAATTCAAAAAAGATTTAAGAGTTTTTAAGAAATTATAGAATGAGAAATCTTAGAAATGGAATATTTCAGAATATTCACATATATGAAAAATTCTAAGAAAAGAAGTGGACTTTCTCAGTATTTCTGCAAAATGTACCAATTTGTATACAAATTCTAAAAAAAACTTCACCCAGGAAGAGCATTAATATTGATATCTAATCGAACAATCCGTCCCTGCCGTCTTCGGTATGTATTCTTCCTTTCTTCCTCGATAACTGATCATCTAGGTATCTTTCTTGGATGCGCCGCGTACTCACACACGGTATAGTCTCGGTCCATACTCGTCACCCCCCCCCCCCCCGAGATTCTCCTGCTCTGCTCTGCGCGCGAACGGATCTCTTTTTCCTATTTTCCTCTAGTTTTACGCTCTTCTTCCTCTTTCCCTCTCCTTTCTGTTCTCCTTTCTATAACCGCTCTTCCGTCGTTTCCCTCTTTCCTCGCCACACACGTGCGCTGTGCACGCTTGTAAATACGCGTGTGCACGCCCGCGCATGCACGGGTATGTGTACGCACGTATACGGCGCGCATATGCGTGCGCGACTAGCGGTACTTTATCCGTAAATGTACGAGATACCGTACGATATTTTCCTCCAGAATTGATCACACTTTGCACACAAGGTGGCACATCGTCCTATAACTATAGAATAAACTCTTGACAGAATTCCATTATTGCATTATATTGCGTCGATTCGTGTCCCCTCACTATGCCTAAAGCATTAATCATGTACAACTATCTCGTGCTACTGACAAAAGATAATGAAAATTATTGAGAGAGAGGGGGAGAGGGAGAGAGGGGGGAGGGAGAGAGAGAGAGAGAGAACTGGTTTCTTCGCATATTCCATTTTGGAAGGAATAGATGCACAAATCCAGCTAAAAATGGCACTTGTATAAAAGTTTGTCATTCAACATATTTTATCAAAAACTTTATTTTATATATTTACGTAATGTTTGCTTGTCCCTTTTTCAACTTACATAAAGCATGTAAAATCCTCTTCGAGAGTAATTCCTTCCAAACAGCACAGGTGATCGAACTCAAAGAGGATTCATTTTTACATTCTTTATGAATTGTTCAAAATAAACTCGAAAAGCATTTTATTTCAATACGAATTTATATAGAAAAAAATTCTTTTACGTCCGAGAAAGAACTCAGAATTAGTGACGGTATAAACGAATTCTTTTTGAACTCTCAACTATTTTTAAAACAGAAACGGAATAAAAAAAGAATTTATCTTATAATTCTTCAGAAAGAATTCTTTTCGAATTCTCTGTGCTATCTGGGGTGACAAAGAATAGAAACCTTAAAAAATATTGATACTATAATAACATAAGAGAATGTAATTTTATTTCATCTTGAATGTCACCGAAAAATAACATTTGGAAACTTAAAAGTAGTACATATCGTAAACTAGAAAAATCAGGCATTCCATATTCGTACAACATTGAGGCCTGGTTAAAGAAGTGAACTTTATCTGGTTCTTTCTAACAATAAAAGAAATTGGTATAATATGACAAAGCTAAAGTCATACAAGATATGTAGTAACATTGAGGACAAAAACTTGCATGATAGCACACAAGGTCACTAGTATCCCAGAAAGAAAAGAAGTGGATGTTAAAAAAATTGAAAAAGAAATACTGATTGACGGCACGTTAAAAAATTATTCTTACTTACTTTCATTAAAAAAATCAAATATATAATTAAACAAAAAATACAATATATTATTAAAGCACTCAGGACAAACCCAAGTGAGCTGGATCAACGAGAGTAAACTTTTCGATACATTCAATTAACCATATCAGTGGCAGAGTTTTGATGTGCGGCATGTTGTACTTGATAGGTGGTTCGCCTTTACCTGGCACATATATAATATAATGTGTACACTTGTGCAAAGGATGACACAAGTCGTTTGCGGCGTGAAAAGGTACCAGTTGCGACATATCTTCCAAGTCTTCCGGATTTGGTTTTCTGGTAAGCACTGTTCCTTCGCCCTCTTTCACAAGTCTCACCAGATCTTCCTTTGTAATTCGCACGTCACCGACGTCGTAAGTCATATTCGTTTGCAAAGTAAAGTAAAAGAAACAATTGTTGAACAAACGTGGGTTTTTACATTCCACGTTTTGCCTTGCTTTCCTTGGGATGCCGCAAATGGGAGCGCCGTTAACTTCAAACACTTCGAGATCTACATCAGCTACCTCATCCATATCTGCTGCTAGCTGAATCCCTTTAAATAAATTACGTAATTTGGTACTGATTTACACTTATATGTATATATTAATCTTGTGCAGCTTAAATATTTATCTAGGTACAATTTTACTGTATCAAATTATTAATAAACTTTGTTGAGAACAGATGTTTATAGCACAAAGAATTACTATTGATACGTCATAATATATCATCTTACATTCACTATTCAGAAGCCAACTTCCATAAATAATTGTGAATAAAACATCAAGTGTTGATTTTGTAATATTCTGTTCATTCGTCTCTACTATGACATGTGTAACAGATGGTCTGAAATACAAAAGTTCATTAAAATATATTATTGTGCATTAAATTCAAAAAGTAAAATCAATGCAAAAAGTATTTAAAAAAGACTGGATTGTACCTATATGTTGTCAGAATTTTGAATTTTTGTCTCGCGGCCACAAGACTAAGCAATTTCTGATTTTCACTTTTCAAGTTTGATGCAAGGATCACAAATTTGTCACACGTACGAGTAGATACATCTAGCATTTGATTAAGGTTCGATACCTTTTCAGACGGGGTCCGTGGTAAATCCATGAGAAGCTCTCGCATCTCTCTTGATTTACAGTAGTCTCTGCACGGTCAAATTAAAAGATTAGGCAACAAAGCTATCTTTAAAATATTTTTTATGGCTACAATATGGTTTGCATCAGACATACATAGGCTTTTTGCCAAAGTGATCATATTGTTCTCTGTCAGCATTGTGACGCAACAACAACTTAGCTTCTTCAATTCTGTTCAATTTTACAGCTTCGTGTAGAGGTCTTCGATTTTTACGACCTGATATATCTGGCGATGCTCCACAAGTCAGTAATAGTTCACATATTTTAATATAACCAAAACTAATTGCTTCTTGCTGAAATAGTTATGCAGAACAATGGCAAATCAAACTTGATACGACATAGCATAAATATCTTTTAAAAAAAGAAAGCCACATAAAGTATTGGTATATATGATTTCTCTACCAATGGTGTCCAACCAGCATTATCTTTTGTATTAGGATTCGCACCGGCCAACAATAACTGTTTGACTCGTTCGGCATTGTTCTGTAAAATAATCATTTCTTAACATTTTCTTAAAGGCGAAAATTGTCATTTTTTTTAATTTATACAGGGCAAGGAAAAAATATCGGATCGGTAAATATCTCGAAAATAAGGCATTCGAAATAAAAAGTTATACATATACAAAAGGGTTTAAAAAGGTCTGTTCAACAACTTCATAAGTTTGACCTTGGATGACGGTGCTAAAATAAAATCAACCTCACTTTCTTTTAATGGAAATTCCACTTTTTTAATTATATTATCTTTTTCTACTATTATTTATCTGAAACATCTTTTTATTTACCTAATATTTTTTATTCAAGAAAAACTTGGACTTAACTTCTTAGCTTATAATATTTCAATAACTATTTGTTGGAACGAAAAGTGGTACAGGACTTTTTGTGCTTAATTTACTAAAAAATCTGCTGCTACTACGGTACAGAATTCCATTTTAATTTAATCTTAAAATCTTTTTGGAGCTTCCATGTACACACATCTACAAAAGTTAGAGCAGTGGCAACATATTCTTAAGCCTAAATTCAAATAAAAAATTTCTATACCACTTTTCCTTTCAACAGTTATCGAGAAATGGTAAGCTAAATATTGAAAGTGCCACAAAGTTTTCATCCCAATATTAGGCAAAAAAATGTGTCAGATAAAAGTTGTTCAAATTAATTGGTAAAAAAATGATATATTAAAAAATAAAGGTTACCATTTAAAAAATTAAGTTGATTACCTTACCTTGGCGATGCCATCCAATGTCAAACTTATGAGACTAGTAAACATTTTCAAACTTTACAACTTTTGTATGTAACACTTTCTCAAATGCCATTTTTGACATATTGCACTGATCCTTTTTCCTCACCCTGTATAATATTTGGCATGTGATTTAATTTAGATAGGATATATTAATCACTTCAAACTGAGTAAAGAGATATATTAATCGATAAAAGGAATTGTTAGACGACTTAGGCTGGCAGATGGTTTATTTATTCAGTTAATCCGACGTTTCGACCATACGGGTTGTGGTCCTTTTCAGGGAATTCAACAATAATATTACAATGTTATTGATATCATTGTCATTGAATCAAAACAAAGAGTTCTACTTTGAGTGTTACATCGGATGGACGTGCCGTCTAACATAGTTCTCCATGTGATGCCCAGAGATGGAAGTGAAGCTGTTTCTTTAATTTTGATACCAACGACGTAATATTGTTGAATTCCCTGAAAAGGACCACAACCCGTATGGTCGAAACGTCGGATTAACTGAATAAATGAACCATCTGCCAGCCTAAGTCGTCTAACAATTCTTTTTATCGTTTAACATTTACTGGCGATTCACATTCTTAAGTTGTTTAGATATATTAATGTTTGATATCTATACCTTCAAACATGCGATATGTAATGCTGTTTCCCCTTTATGATTCGGTTTATTTATATTTCTCATAGGTATATGATCCTGCTTCCTTGGTGTATGGAGTACTGTAGAAATTGTATTGTCCAATGACATATTAGATGCATCTGCAGCATTATTCCATATATCCCTAAAATGACAATTTTATACTATCATTTGTACTATTATTTATATATTTGTATATAGATAAACTAACTCTAATTTAACCTCTTTTGAATAATTTCTCCAATAACGTCACAATGCTGTGTAAGATTGGATATTAAATGATCAGGCTTTATTTCCTTTGGCTGTATTGGTACGTCGCATTTAACACATTTCGTTGCAAAGTTAATACAATCGAAACAAAAGAAATGTCCACAATTGGTGAGTCTTACGGGAGACACGGGTTTGGACCCACTGCGCAAAATAGTCACAATGTATATAGGTATATGTATATGATATGTATGTATAAGTATGAGAGTAATACATATATAAATGTACAAGTGTGCATAAAATAATATATAAAGAGATATAAATATAAAATATAGAATGATGTTGCCGGCACTCATAACAAAAACTTAACAATTACCATTTCCCACAACGAAGAACGTTCGCAAAATCTTGCAACGCACTACAAGTATTCATCCATTGAATCTCCATCTTTGTAAATTTGATCTTCTAATATAAATATTTGGATAGCACTGGGGCTCGATTCTTGTATCCATTCGATTGTCTTATTGATGAGTTAATGGCAGTTTGGCAGTTAATGGCTCCTGGCTCCATGGAGTCCATCCAGATCACTGGTCTCAATATAACACTAGGGATGTGTTTGAAAATGGATTTGGTTACTGTCGCGTACAACCAATCAGAAATTCTGTTCCCTGTTCCTGACGTTCCTGTTGCCTGTTGCCTGTTGCCTGGCATTGTGTGATGGGCTTAAGAGAGAAAGGAAAGGTTAGGCAGCATTTCGTCACATTTCTTATCTTTTGCTATCGCGCTACGCAGTCCGTCCATTGCCCACTCCCTGTTTTAATATCGCAAGTTTAAGATAGCAAATCGAAATATAACGTAAAATCTCGACCATGGCAAATAAGATTAAGGTAAGAGAGAATTTTAATATGTTTTTTAAATGCAGCGACAGTCATTAAAGGAAAATTTTTCGATTCTTCCCAGACAGCACACGATATCCTATGGGTGTCCTGGGAACATTCTTAGGACATAAGGACGTCCAGAGGATGTCTTTAAAATGTCTTCAGGAGATCTGTGCTGTCTGGGTTATATCGTACATTTTGGATTATATTTATATCCAATCGCATTAATACTATAAGGTTAACTTTGAAAATTTGTCCGTACAAAGTTTTATAATATGTTAATTACATTATATTGTTATAACACTGCATTTGGCATATTGTGTGATAGAAAAATCGACAAATGCAAAAAAACATTTTTTTTGCACAAAATATATATATTACAACATAGACTCAGCAAACACAGAACATTGCAACGTTAAGGCAACGTTACAATGTTGCTGTAATATTCTGTGTTTGCTAAACGTAAGAGTGTTTTTACTGAAATATTACTTTTCAATTTTTTAGGTGGGAATAATATGTGGCTCAGGTTTGGGTGAGACCCTGAGCAAAACGTTCAATTGTAGCAGCACCACGAGTCGCGAGAATGCAAAGAATGATTTTGGATATCCATCCAGTAATCTTTACCACGGATGCATTGATGGAATAAACATAGTGCTGCTGGCCCGGTAAAATTCCTTACAAATCCCTTCATTCTTGCTCATTTATTTTTAAAGCGTACAATCTGGACTTGCATATTAATAATTACTTTGCCTTTTCTCTTTATCATAAATTTTTAATATAAAAGATCTACTGGTTTGTTTGACAATATTTGGTTTATGTCGTGTGCATTAATAAACATTTTTTTTCTCAATTTAACACAGACATGGCGCAGGGCACATATTTAGCCCTACTGGAGTTAATTATCGTGCTAATATAGAAGCATTGCGGTGTGCTGGATGCACCCACATATTGGCGTCCACCGCATGTGGATCGTTGACAGAGTCTATCGGTAGGGGACAGTTGGTTGTGCCTGATAGCTTCATAGATAGAACCAATTCCAGAAAAGGTACATTCTACGACGGTTCATCTGCCAAGTACAGCGGTAAGTATATAATGTATATTCTTTTTATTAGTATGTATAGTATGTATCTAATGTGTTCTTTTTTAAAATTGCAAAATTCTTCCACGCAAATAAAGTACGCATAAAGACAAAACCAGGGACGGTCGACTTTATATAAAAAAACGAAGAGCAATTAAAAATACCTCTGTGAACCTGGCGTCCGACTTTTTTTGAAAAAAATTTGTTTAATACCGGAAATGGTAGCCTTTCGTTTGTAGTTGATTGTAGTAAAAGAAATTTTGTTTATAGTTTTATGGTTTACAAGATATAAAAATTTTTTAAATAACCAACATCCGACATTAAGATTTCTCAAATCCGCTTGTTTAGGCTTCTTTAGAATCGTTTGTAATTGATTCTAGTAAATTTCTTTTCGTTTGTAGTTGAACCGTTCAAAAGTTATAAACAACGAAATTCCCAAGAGGCAACTTTTTTATTCTTTGAGATATTCAAAATTTACTTGCACAGTCTTTTTTAGAATCGTTTGTAGTTGTTTGTAGTGCTTTCCGTTTCGATAGTAGTTGAACCGTTAAAAAGTTATAAACATTTAAACAAATTGCCTGAAACTAACTGCTAATTTTTAAGATATTCGAAATCCGCTTGCAGTTTTCTTTAAAATCGTTTGTAGTTGATTGTAGTGCTTTCCGTTTCGTTTGTAGTTAAACCGTTCAAAAGTTACAACAATTTACAACATTGCAAAATCGGTAACTTTGACTCCTGATGCGGTGCATTAAATCTGCTTGCGGGAGCCTCTTTAGAATCGTTTGTAGTTCTGAAGAATTCTGCGCAAGTAGATTTCGAATATCTTAAAATTGGCAAAGTGAGCTGTTTGTAATTTTGTTTAAATGTTTATAACTTTTGAACGGTTCGACTACAAACAAAACAGAAAGCACTACAATTAACTCTAAAGAGGCTCCCGCAAGCGGATTTGATGCACCCCATCAGGAGTCAAAGTTACCGATTTTGCAATGTTGTAAATTGTTGTAACTATTGAACGGTTCGACTATACAAACGAAACGGAAAGCACTATAATCAACTACATACGATTCTAAAGTGGCCCACACAAGCGGATTTGATGCACCCCATCAGGAGTCAAAGTTACCGATTTTGCAATGTTGTAAATTGTAATTTGAATGGTTTGACTACAAATGAAACGGAAAGCACTACAATCAGCTACAAACGTTTCTAAAGAAGCCTAAACAAGTGAATTTGAGCAATCTTAATGTCGGATGCTGGTCATTTAAAAAAATGTGTACATCTTATTAACCATAAAACTACAAACGAAATTTCTTTTACTACAATCAACTACAAACAAAAGGCTATCATTTCCGTTATTAAATTTTTTTTTAAAGTCGGGTGCCAGGTTCACAGAGGTATTAAAAATATCACTTTATAAACGATTGAGGTTTAGAAACTTGGTGTTTTAAGTATGAAAATGTTTTGATATGCAGTCCGCAACTTGTGGTATTATTTTTTGCATAAAAGCTAATAAAAAGAATTGCAAGCGCAAAAACAATATTTGACTGTGTCAGTAAAAATAATGGCTGAAGGATCCTTTTAATATATAATCTTTAAAGTATGTTACTTATGAAATTAAAGGGGTATGCCATATGCCAATGCAGCCTGCATTTGATCCGCGTACGTCGGAGATCTTGTTGCAAGCAGCAAAAAAGTTAGGATACAACGTAAGAAAGGGTGGAACGGTAATAACTATCGAAGGACCGCGCTTTTCCTCTAAAGCAGAGAGTAATGCTTTGCGTCTGTGGGGTGGACATTTGGTCAACATGACTATATGCCCAGAGGTCTAAATGCCATGATAAACTTAAACATAGACTATTATGTATTTGGCAATACTATAACATTTACTTTTTCTAAAATCAGGTGTTTCTAGCGAAAGAAGCCGGTCTTTTGTATGCAGCTGTAGCAATGGCGACTGATTACGATTGTTGGAGGGAAAGCGAAGATCATGTTCATGCAGCCGACGTATTAGTTGTGTTCAGGCAAAATGTTGATAAGATAACGAATGTGTTACTAGAGGCAGTGAAAATTATTGGCTGTGGAGATTGGGAGCAGGATATTCTTAAATTAAAGGTAATATTTGTTATTTGTATAACAGTTGTGCATCTATAATACAGTACTGAAGATGTTGACAAAGGAGAAATTATTTTCAGGAGTTAATTGAGAGCAGCAATGTGACTGCAAAGAAATAAAGCTTCTACTTTCAGAGTGGAATGAAGAAACTATGCCTATATATAGAATTATAAAAACAATGTCAAAACTGTGTATATAAGATATATAGAATTTCACAAGTTTTATGAAATTTCCACACATTCCACAAATGGAAATTTTGATGTCATTTATATACAGGGTCTCCCATTTTAACTTGGACAGTAAAATATCTCAAAAACTAAGCCCAACAAACTTTCAGACGAAAGTTGTTTAGCTTCGAGAGGAACATAAGATGATGTCATTAATTTGGCCTTGAATAGTTGCTTGAAGGTCAAGTGAAGGTCACTTTCAATTTTTTTAATGGAACCCCCTATTGTTTATTGTACTATCTTATTCAGCTAATTAATATGAACAACTTTTGTCTGAAACATTTGTTTATTTGCCTAATACTTTTTGAGATTTCAAAAGGAAATTTATAACTTTTTTAATGTTTAGCTTATGATATCTCGATAAATGTTGTATGATGAACAATAGGAGGTTCCATTAAAAAATTGAAGATAACCTTCACGTGACCTTTAAATGACTATTCAAGGTTAAAATAATGATACCATCTAATGTCACCCTCGAAACCCAACAACTTGTCTGAAACATTTTTGTTTGCTAGGCTTTTAGTTTTTGAGATATTTTACTGTCCAAGTTCAAATGGGACATCCTGTAGAAATCTATTATATGAAGGACCAATTTATTTTATAATTGTTATGGCGCAAATAATAAGCTTGAATAAAATCATTACATAAAATAGTGTTTTGTATATATCTTACCTTTTGTCACTTGAAACATCTTATCTGGCTATATGATATATCGGGATATAATTAAAACAGCTACGAGTCTGTGATATACAGGGTGATTCAGGAAGAAAGGTCAATATTTTGGGAGGTGATAGTATCGGTCATTCTGAGCAAAAATGTTCATATGAATATATGTCCTATTCCCCACTGTTTCCGAGATAGAGCTACTTAAATGTACAATTACAAAATTAATGTCAATAAAGAAATACTACATACTATTTCTAATATTTATTGTTAAGTGGTTTTTTACAAATTATAATAAATTTCCAAAAATTCCACCGTTAATATTAATGCATTTTTCAACTCTTGTGTGAACATGGCGTGTTGCTCTCAACGCCACTTTTTCTAATCGGTGGATTGGTCGGTGGCAGTGCCATTAATTGGTGTCTAGACCTAAGCCCGTTGGATTTTTGTTTATGGGGTTGGATGAAGAGTGAAGTCTACAGAAGAAAAGTGAATACATGAGACGAACTGCTCGTTAATGAATGCTAGTGCCCGCATAAAGGAACGTCACGATGTACTCAGACGAGCAACACGCCATGTTCGCACAAGAGTTAAAAAATGCATCAATGTTAACGGTGGAATTTTTGAAAATTTATTTTTGATCCATTGCAAACTTCCACATCGGCGGACCACATGAAACCATGGATAGACGAGTCCGAGGACTAATTGTAATAAGTTTTATCACAGTTGAGGACAACTGTAGCGGCCGAATGGCCGAATGTACAATAGTATTGCGTTTAGTCATGATGTGGTATTGTTTTGCTATGTTTTGAAACGATGCAAATCCGAGGAAACTGCGTACGACTGTCGGCACGATTGATGATGCCGTACGGCGCGTCGTACAGGTGATACGTTTTTTTTTCATTGTCTGTGATGTATCGCGACGTTACGTCTGTAAAAAGTAGGGTTAGAAGATGCAGACTTTGATTTTCGGCTATAAAAGACAGGATCGAGAGCGTCAAAATAGCTCCCGGGAAGCTTACAAAATTCGACAAAACAAGCTTCCAGCGAGTTAGTACTAGTACCACTCATTGCCGCGCACGGAGAAATCCTGGGGAGCTAATAAAATTTTTCATAAACTTTACTTGAACTTTAGACGAACTCGCACGTAGCTCCCTGGGAGCTTCATTTAAGCTCGCAGAGTTTTTAAAACATGTTTTCTGAACTTCCTGCGAGCTTAAATGAAGCTCCTCGGGGGCTTCTATGTCTGCTTTTGAGAGTTCCCTGGGAGCCTCATTTAAACTCCCTTGCGAGCTTAAATAAAGCTCTTAGAGAGCTCTCAAAAGCAGACATAGGACTCCTATGATAGGAGCTCTCAGGGGGCTCCGTGCGAGTTCGTTTGAAGTTCAAATGAAGCTTATGACCAATTTTAAGAGCTCCCCGGAGCTCCCCGGGAGTTCCCCGTGCTGTGTGGGATGTGTAAAAGGTAAAGAGTGATACAAGGAATTAGATTGATATCATATCTGAAGATCTAGTACAAACAAAACGATGTTTGACAATTAAACTTAATATTTATTATCTATACAATTATATTTACCTATACAATTTGCAAAAGTCAATTGACTGTATGATCGTTTGTTTAAACGTATCTACATAATTGAACTGCCAATATATATGTATCCTCTTCTTCTTATTACATGCTACATCTCGTTTCTTTGTGTAAGCTTAAAGGAGCAGACAACATTTAATCAGTATTGTCATCGATTTCCGCTGGTATAATTTACGCTTAATTAAAACATTGTGCATTGTTCTGCACTTTACAATGATCTTGCAACTCAAAATATAATATGAAACCATGGACGCTACATATATGGATTTTTCTTATGTACAAGCAATTTACATTATAATCAGTGAGAAAAATTAAGCTTGTAGCTTGGTTTAACATTAAAGTTCTTCAAAAAATACATTTTTATGATACATATTTATAATATAATATAGTAAATATATTCACAAAAGAGACCTATCTTGTGTAGTTTATAACTGTGTCAACTCAAAAATAACCACATTTAATTTACAAATAAAACAATTGGTAAAAATGTAGTTTGCATTTTAGAATTATTATAATCAATAGCAAGTATAAACTTGTTAGAAAATATAAAAATCGATATACTGTGTTCTGCAAGTATTGGAATTTGAGCTTTACAAAATAAAAAAAAACTTGAAACACGTTTTTACCAATTATATTTTCAACTAAACTTCGCTGGTGACATATGATACCTTAATTCTGTTAAAATATTTGGGCGCTATAACAGTGGCTATAATATTTATATATTTTAATTGAATAGTTTATATTAAAATTCTTAGACTTTCATGCGATGATACGACAATAATTTCAATACAGACAATACATAATAACTGAGTTCGACGTTACAAATCTTAGGCGCAAGAGCACTTTTCTACCTTGTAAATGCAGTGGTTTGCTCTATGTCATCTCATCTGCGTAGTATTATCAATTTCACAGAAACTCGAACTCCTTAATTCGCTCTGGATTCAAGACCGAGCTCGTAGAGGAGATAGTTATTTACACATGAAAAGTGAATTGTATTAGTCGAGACAATGCCCTTCAGTATTATTCGGAAATGCATTTTGTATTTTTTGTCGAAAAACTGAGGTACAATTTTTTTCGCATAATAAAACTTTTAGAATATTAAAAATTTTGTTTTTATTACCAAAGAAAAAATGTCTATAATAAAGCAAAATTAACAAAAAATTGCGTGGATCTAGAGTCATATATAATTTCAATCAATCAATTACAACCAATGACAAACCTGAAATAAGCAGATTATGAGTGAAAAAATTATACGGCTAAAATCTGAATTCTAATTAGTTTACACAGAAATCCCGATTTTAAAAAATTTTAAAAAGTCAAGTAAAATTCACGTGAAAAGATGCACAAGTTTTATTCTAAAGATTAGAATCAGTTCTGAGGGTTTTGAAACATTCAGCATTAAGTTTAGTGCTCCACTCGACATTTGCTCGCTCACATTTTAGATTTTTTTTGTCGAACGCAGTAAACGTAATTTGCATACATTACACGCTTGTAAAATTAATAATTTTTGCAGTCCAAATTGGTTGGTAACAATAAAATATAATACTATAAGAATACATGCCATGAAACTCTTAGTATTCAAGAATAAGATCCCATTGTTTTCTACATTGTAATTAACAATACGCTTTGTTAAATATTCACATAACACACTTAGTGTGAATGTTCTTTACAAGATGTAACAAGGTGTATATATTTTTTTTCACAAGTCTTGATCAATTATATATAAAAAGATCAACACTTCAACTTTGTATGCAACAGATTAACAGGTAGAATTAATCATATTGTGACAATTCTACTTAGAAATGGTGTGAATTTATATATCGCATTGTTATCAAATATTGAGAAGTAATAAAATCAAAATAAATTGTTGTCCTAGAGATACTCGATACTACTACTACAAATCGAAAGCAACTGTAACTGATGATAAGTGTGCCTGAGAATTTATTATCGTCTATAACTGTATTTGCTTTATGTTTGATGTTTGGGATATATATATATATATATATATATATAAAGGATCATCTTCAATATATATGAAATAAACCTGATGTAAGAAGTAAGAGTAGGAGTAAGGAAATGAATCACTTCCATTTCTTACTCCTATTCCAGCTGATGCTTACTCTCGGTGAATCAGAGCGTGGATCGACTGGTACAATAAATGTTTTTTTAATATACCTGTATTTTAGCTTTTACAAATAAAAGGTAAAGGTTAGAGATAAAGAAGTTTTCTTACTTCTTACTTTCAATACAGACGATCTTTAAGGGAATGCTGCAAACTATTATGCACAGTTCTGAGTAATATTACAATTTGTACATGTCAATTTTATCAGTTTAGAAAAATGATTTCCAGAAAAGCTATGTGAGACAACTTTTTCCAGTTATAGTGAATTATGATTCATAATTATAAACATAACAACTAAGGAAAAATTGAAATAAGTTTTCTGAAAATGCAGTGTTTTTTTTACATATTGATACAAGTGAAAGACTTGTTTCTAACGTAATAGAATTATCATCCGGACATATGAAAGGAAGTGTGATATTCGGAAGGAAAAAAGCAGACTCTAATGATTAGACCTTATTATCGACCATATCCACATTGATCTTGTAATAGACATATGGGAAATAATCACTTTGGCCAAAACCTAGTCCTGGTATATCCACGTTCTGTTAAAATTAAAATGTCATCATATAAGTATAAATGAGCTCTGCACGAAGAAACATATTTTTTCATATATACATGGTCTATCCAAAAAGTATCGAGGCTGATTTTTTATAGCCAACGGAAAGAGGTGAGGGGTGGTCTTCATGATTAGGGACGTTGGTTGGGGATGTCACGTGTACGACGCGTCGTATACCTGACATTTCCCACCAACGTCCCTACCCATGGAGACCACCCCGCAACCCTTCCACTTGGCTAAAAAAAAATCAGTCCCGATATTTTTTGGACCAACCATGTATTTCATATATGTATATGTATAATAGATATTAAAATTGGATTCTAAAGTGATATTAGTTTACAAAAATGACAGAAATTTAATAAAGTTTCAAAACTGTGTGTGTAATTGAATATTAATCAAAGTTCAATAATACTGCTACTTTTGTATATCTTTACTTACATCCTGATTATGTTGTGCTGTTGAACCGGTAGCGGATGAATCTAGGTGAGCATAAAGCTGATTTAGAGCGTCGCGTAATCTCCTCGCGCATTTCTTATGCGGGTGCAGTAATATTGCTTGGAAATTGACAGGCAAGCCGTATCTAAAATCCAAATTATATTATAATATGTTAATATCCTATATTTCTTTTAATAAGACACATTAACGTCCAGCAGTACCTAAGAACAGATTCAACAAATACACGTAAAGCTTTAACATGAATCCAAGCACAAAAGCATTCACTGAAATTCACTTTTAACCAACGGACAAGCGGTCCGAATTGTTTCTTTTTGTCAGTTACCAACTTCGTAATTTCATTTTTTCCTGTAATAAAACATAATTAGGATAAATTTTATTCTTTGCAATATGCATAAATCCTTAGTCTCTAAAACTATCTAATATATTAAATTTGTATTTATTTTTTAATAATATTATTATTAGGTGTATCGGGAAGTTTCATCCGTTTTTTAACAAAAAGTATGGTTTTATTTAAGAAACGAAATAAAAAAGTACATTAATCAAAATATTGTCCAACGTTAGCGATAATTTTTTCCCATCCTTCGGGCAACAAACGAATTCCACGGTGAAAGAATGACTCATTTTTAGAGGCCTATCCAGTTAGACACCCATTTTTCGACGTCTTCATAAAAATTAAAGCGTTCGCCAGCAAGTGCGTGTGCCATCGACCGAAACAAGTTGTAGTAGTCGGAAGAAGCACAGTCTGGTGAATAAGCCACATAGGGTAGCACTTTCCAGCAAAGTGCTTCTAACATTTTCTTGCCAAGTTTTATGACGTGAGGTCGAGCGTTGTCATAAAGCAAAATCACTTTATGCTGTCTCGTTTCATATTCTGATCGTTTTTCGTGTAATGCTCGGCTCAAACGTATCATTTGTTCTCGGTAGAAATCTTGTGACTGTTCGATCACTTTTCAACAGCTCATTGTAAACCACACCTTTCTGATCCCACCAAAAATACAGAGTATTGCCTTCTTTCCTTGAATATTCCGCTTTGGCGTCGATGACAAGGGTTGGCTGGGGTCGCAAATGGTTTTTCGACATTTGGGGTTGTTAAAATAAATCCATTTTTTATCCCTAGTAATGATACGATGTAAAAATCCCTTTCTTTGTTGCCTAGCAAGTAGAATTTTGCAGGTGGTTTTTCAATGCCTTTGAATGTCTCTTGGCTTCAGCTCGTATGAGACAAGACTCATTTTCCTTCCTTGTAGACCTTTCCCAAGGCTTTTAAACGATCGGAAATGACAGATTGAGCACAATTTAATGTTGCAAGTTGATTTTACGTTTGATATGGATCTTCGTCCACCAATGCCTGCAATTCTTTGTCTTCGAATACTCTTGACTGGACCGTTCAGAATGCTCTTTGTCCTCCACATCAAAATCACCACTTTTAAAGCGTCAAAACCATTCTCTACAGGTTTTATCGGAAAGAGCATTATAAACTTCTACAAGCATTCGATGAGCTTCACCTGCAGTGTTCTCTTAATTAAAGCAAAAGATTAACACTTCGCGTAAATGACGCTTATTTGGCTCAAATTTCGACATTGTTGATGCAGTAAAAACAATGTTATTGATGCAAACGTATACCTTTATGTACTGAATTTTATTGAGATGTCAAAACTAAAAAATAAAGCTTTGTTTATATATTAAAGTTACCGACAGTTCTAGCTATGACTTCTCGCCGCTAAACAGACGGAACTTTCCGATACACCTAATATGTGCAACATTGTCCCATGTAAATCATAAAAGATCTCAATGTAACACACCTGCTGCTAATTCTTCTTCATTATATGTAAAATCTCGCACAATAAACTTCTTTTCACGAGCATGCAATTTAAACTCATCCATTACTTTCTTAAACAAAGTAATCGTAAATAATCCATATTCTGAATCTTGAGTAATGAGCTGTGTACTACGTGGTACTATCATATCTGTCAATTTTTCATAACAAGCATACCATTCCTGGAAGCTGGATCTAAAAATATAAGATACATGTAGATGCTAATTCCTCATACAACTCAACAATATAATCTTTGTATGATTTTAGCATATTCTTACACAAACAATAAGCTGTAACTAGTATGTTTACTCACTTCGGTACAATTACAAGCAAAGTAGTTAAATATTCGCTGTCCAGGATAAAGTGTTCCTTTTTCACTAAGTCTGCTAAATTTCGTGTTAATAAACTTCCCCTGTCCCAAATTAAATATCATGTAGTGTTATTTGTATAATTGATGATTGTATTCTATTAAAAACATGTCAAACTTACGTCTGTTTCTTTTCTAAGTTTTGTAAGCTGCCTTTCAAATTATTGTATAATGTCGATTTAGTTTTTAGATCAGCATCGATCTGTCCCACTTGTTTGCTGATAATATCCGCAATGTTTCTCAGAGATTGTTTGATAGGGTATTTAGCCATGTCCCACTGGAATCGAGTTATATATGATGGCAGATCACCTAGTAAATTTTAAACATTAATCCAATTGTTTTAGACAATAAATGTTGATAAGCAATTCTGTGGACAGAGCTTTAGAACATATTTAGACATTCTTTAAAACATATAATCAATAGCGAGTAAAGTTCAACAAGTGTAATAAATGTATAATTTTAAGCAGATTTAATATTGCTACACTTCTTAAGCTCTGTATATGTTATTAACATATACAAATACTTGTACATGTATATCTTCTTGTTACATAAATAAATCTAATTTAAACGTTATCTGAAGTAATGTTCTTAAAAAAATAGTATTAAAAATGGTGAGGTAAAGAAAAAATGATCTCCACATAAGCAATTTCTTCATTTTACAATGCTGCTTATTCATTATTAGCATTACAAAAAAAGAAGCAGGTCATACACAAAGTATATCATGCAATCCATAAACAAACTTTATATTTACTTATATGTAGATATGAGAAATTAAGAAATTATTTTTTTATAAAAACAAAACAGCTACTTGATATTTGTATGTACATGCGGATCTGAGCAATATCTTGAGAAACTGTATTATCTTTTGCATTTATCGCTATATCTTAAAAACATTGTAATTATATATGATACAAAAATGTACATTAATGTAATAAGACAATAAATTCTCATTACACATGCATATGTATCCGTATTAATTTATTAATATTACAAAAAAATTAATATGTTTTATTCAGTTTCGCAATTATCTGTATTATTTTCTTATACATTAGTGAGTAGAATGTTTCTATTGATACATATATGCTCGATAAATTCAAATAACTTTAGTATAATGCATATATACATTTATATTTCAAAGAAAAAGATGCTCACGTACATTTGAGAAAAAAAAGGGTAATATGTCAAAGTTGTTATTCCACAGAATCCACTTGTGTGAAAATTTTTTAAACTTTGATAGTTTATTCTTTGAATTATCACGTACAAAATAAGCCCCATTAAATTAAAATTGACCGTCTTAAAATAATGTAGAGTTTACCCGAGTGTTTACCGTTTTTATACGTAATGCTTATCAAAAGCATATTAATGGCGTATTTTATTATTTCTTTTTAATTTAACGACATACAAGATTCATATGAAAAACAAACATAAAGCCAGACGAGACGAATAATTGAAAAAAGATCAAAATTATTGACCGTTCCGATAATATTGTATTAACAGTTGAAACCGAAAATTGGAAGAATTTAAGATTAGTATGGCAAAAGCGCCTTCAGCCTTAAGCCCAATGTCCACGATGCTAGAACTTGGTCCGAGTCCTCGGTCCGAGAAACGTACAGCCAATAAAATTGCCGCTTTTCCGTAAAGGCTACAAATTGATTGGTTACAAATTTCTCAATCCAAGAACTTGGTCCAAGCATCTTGGACACAGACCTTTATAACCTTTCAAATTCTTTTTACATTACGTATTAAGTGTATTTATGTCACAAGTATATTTTTTAAACGGTATTGCATCAAGATATATCATTATAATAATTGAGTCTAGTTCTGATTTGGAATAAATGTCTGAGCATGACTGTGGCAGTATAACTACCTTAAACATGAAAATATCTAATAGTCAATTTGGTTGCTTGCACTAGTGCGCACTGCCAAGGAGGTATTTAAAATAATCATTAAATATAAGAATTAATTGTAAACACGCCTTAGTGCGCACTGGGTGTACACTAATGCAAGCAACCGAATTTGCTATAAGTTTTTCGATAAAGTTTTTCGAAAATCTATATTTTAACGGTAATATGTATTAATATACCTTTTTTTATACGTCTTCTCACGGGTATATTATGTTTTATCACTAACACGTATGATTACTATGATTAGGTATCACAAATCAAAGTGCAATAATGCAATATAATAAAATAAGCGAAATAGCCAAAATAAAAAAAGCTATTCGTGATAAGTGAATTAAGTGTACAAAATGATAATAATACGTTATATTCCATTTTCTTAAATGGATATATATATAGTTCTTAGGATCAGTTTCACAAACGTCGGTTAACTGTTAACCAGAATTCAGTCGACTCCCTATTTTTTCCATCTGACTATTTAAGAAGAGACAGAGAATCAATTAACCTTCGGTTAGTAGTTAACCGATGTTTGTGAAACTGGCCCTTAGTAGCTTTTACACTACATAAGAGCAATATGAATTACATACGAGAACTATGAAACACATTTGTTTCTTGTTAAGTTTACTCCAATAATCATGCAAAGTAGTATTAGCAATAAACTCACGTACCGATCGATAAATATTTGTTAATTTCTACTAATGCTATTTGTGCTATGATCTACGCTACTATCTACAATACCATTGTTTTGTATATGTATTCTCGTCTGTGCTTATAATGTAAATCTTTTATTGAAATTATAATAATTATTAAAATGAAAATCAAAGATCAACATTAGGAGAACAGAAATATAATTCGGGATGAAATGATTGGAGTGGAGTAAAAGTGTATAAAGATTTCTCTGGGCACATCTAAATACTACATTTCTCTCGCCATTCTCCTTTCTGCCATTTGCTTTCCCAGATATATTTCAGTTATGTCCTGCATATATGGGACACCTTGTATATATAAACTAGTAACAAAAAAGTTGCAATAAGGGCCATCGCACACAAAATTGCATAGCTGCATGTGCATAGCATGAAAACTATTTAAACCAATAAACATCGAGCATTGAGTCGCCATATTGATTTACATAACAGGCTTATTGGTCTAGACAGTCTTGTGCTATGCATATGCAGCTATACAATTTTGTGTGCGATGGCCCTAATTCATAAATGAGAGCAGAAGCGATACACAAAAGATGTGAAAAATTTAAAAAAGAGCAAAATTAGGAGAAAAAGCTGAATTGTCTGGTGGATAACCAGGTATGTATTATATGCAAATTGATTCACCACAAAATGGGATATTGAGCATTTTATGTTCGTATAACAGTTGTGTAAAATTGTAATATAAGTATACATAACCAGTATAAAGGACAGAAGACAAACGAGCCAAAAACCAAAGATACATTAGCAAAATTTCTCGAAGGAAACCAATTGTGAAAAAAGATACACACACTCATCATAATTAGGATGTGCTACGGAATGATGAATTTTCTGTTTAACAGCTTCCGATTTATTAACCATTCATTAAATGAATGCGATCGGGAAACGTCTTTGATGTCAATTACGAAAAAGATGCATTAATTTCAATTTAAAATACATCAATTTGGTCGAAAGAGAGATTGCCATATCATTTCTTGCTGTTTCCTAACTATTAAAAATCTTATAAATAATGTAAAAAGAAAGTACATTAATAAATAATTCTTCCTTATTAAATTTAACATACAGGGTGACTCATTATTATCAACCCACTCAAATATCTCACGGACTTTTTTACTTAATTTGGTCTCAGAAATATGCTGTTGCAATAGTGCTCCAATTATTGAAAATTTTTGTGCATTGTAAAGCAAAATTTTAATACCCAAAAATTTTCAATAATTGGAGCACTATTGCAACAGCATATTCCTGAGATTAAATCAAGTAAAAAAAGTCCTGTACCATTATACGTTTCCCTCCGGTAAACAGTTATCGAGATATCATAAACTAAATATTGAAAAAGTTATCAATTTTCTCTTAAATATCTTAAAAAGTATTAGTCATATAAAAAATTTTAGACAAATGTTTATATTACTTAGTAGAATAAGATAGTATAATAAACAATAGGGGGTTCCATTTAAGAAATTTAAGATGATCTTCACGTGATCTTGACAATGCTTGACTATTCAAGGTGATACTGATATCGCTATGTAATGCGTTACTTGAAACCCTACAACTTTTGTCTGAAAAGTTTTCTTCTGGAACTTATATGTTTTGAGATGTTTGAGTGAATTGATTCAAATGAGTCACCCTGTATATTTTCTTATAATTTCGCATATATTCTTACAAAACTTTTACAATGATATATATTTTGTGTGCGCGCGCGTGTCAAATGCAAGGTTAACATTTGAAAAAATAGCAGTATAAATATATCTGCATTACAATGTGATAGAGTTTAGAACTGTAATAAATTGTTTCTTTATTATTTTTCTTTACTTTTCTGTCCAATCTTTTTCATGTATGCTTCTACCATCCTGTAAATTAGAACAAAAATCTCTACTCAAGTATAATATAATATATTCTGACAACCTCTCTGTCTTTTAAATTTTTCCTGCGTTTACCTATCAAGAAAACACGATAATGATTCAGTCGCTAAACCATCGAGACATGTGGTGCACGGGAACAAAGCTTTGCAGCTATGTACCAAGAAGGAGGGGGACAAAAAGGGAGGGAATGGCGGTCTCGTATCGGCCGGCAGCGGCAGGGTACCTGGATTCGGCAAATTGCCATAATGGTCTTGGTCTGGGTCGCTGTTTTGGTCCGCATCGTCATCATCGTCGTTGTCATTAGCTCCAACCGATTTGCGGGTAGATCGATCTGGATCTTTCTCGGTAGTGGCTCGCGAACGTAACGACTGCTGCCACCCAAACTCTCCTTCGCTGCTACAGTTCGATGAGAGGGAGGAGAGGGTTGGACTCGCGGGAGTGGGACTGGAGCGTGGCGTAGAGGGTACAGAAGCAACGCACCAATGGGCATGGTAGCATGAGTATATCGAAGAGGCATAGTTGTTGGGCTGAGCTTTGACATCACAGATACCCTGAAGATCGTACGACAGCTTCTTTTCGAACGCGGGGGAATGGCCATTGTGATGCTTATGGGAATTATGATGATGATGATGTTGGTGATCATGATCATGATGATGATGATGGTGATGATCGTGGAAATGATGACGCTGGTGATGATGCTGACCTAAACAGGCGGCCGGTTCTGGTTCGGACTTGTCCAATTCCCTCCATTGTCTGTGATGCTCCATCGTAGTCTTGTGTGATGGTGTAACGGGGGTGTTTGGCGGGGTGTCCGGACCCCCTTCGGAGCTCGAGCTCTCCCCATCCATTGATGTTTGACCTATCCATTACAGCCCAGTCCCAATCTCCGCGCGATCTTTTTTATTGTCTCGCTCAACTATTATTGTCTCCTACGCAAACGCCTAACGACAATGCTGACGAAACTGAATGAAAAATAACTCAGGAGAAGAAAATAAGGAGTATTTAGCGCGGATCGTCTTATTTAACCGACCAGAGTGACAAGATTCAAATTTGATCGTTTTTAGTAGTTACCCTTAATATCAATCAGTTAAATGAATGCAAATATCCCAAGATGTATGGACACAGTCCGATACAAAAGATAAGATAGTAATTTGTATTTAAAAGAGCAAACAATACAACGTTCAATCAATAATATTGCCCAACAATGTAATGCATTGCTTAATGCTTCGAGTATTTAAAATTTGGACAGACTACGTTTGTAGATTGCACTGTATACTCAAAAGCTCTGTCTGTCCTTCAAACAGCCGTAATTTTTATTTCTACACATTAATTTGAATTCGTACGCAGAGAAGAATTTAAACTCTATAAATTTCAGTTTAATATAAAGTATAATATTTCATATTATAATCGTACCTTATTAAACGTTAAATACTCCAATACTGCGAAAACAATGACAAAGTAGAAAAACTAAGCAACAAAAGAAATATTCGAGAGAATAAGTAATATTAACGAAATGTATATACTGGAAAGTAAAGGAATAAGAGTCATTACTCAACTCGAAATCACACGGTGCATCACAGATAGTAATATGAAAGAAAAATTGATGATAAAAAGAACTGAGGAAAATAAAATCGTGTAGTGGCTAATCAGAGCTTGGTGACCACAGTAACCCAAGCAACTTCTCGCGTCTCTTGCGGAAATTTTTATCCGATACGTGTGTGGTCCGTCATTCCAGATCTGTCCATATATATATTTTTGTTTCGTTTGTCCTTTACATTATTATTATGTTATGTATTCGTGTATCTCGCGAAGCATCTTTTTTTCCTTCTACACCTTAATACATACGTTTGCATAGTGCAGATGTACGAGCAATTATTAACAAAATAATAAAAAGGGTGGGAAAACAGAGAGAGGGTTAATGTGGTCGAAGTTGAACAAAAGTAAGCCAAGCGACATCACAATTTAGAAATAAGTTTGTAGTAGATAATAAACAGAAACAACTGAACACATAAATAAGCATTCTACGAATATATCAACTAGATACTATTATATGAAGCATATCATTCACAAGTACTTTATTAATTAATAATTTACGAATTATATAAATACATTAAAGCATACTAAAGTATTCGCTAAAAAGACCGAGCGTAAGTATTTGATATTGTAATAAATAGTGAAAAAAGAGGTACGTATGAGTCACTTTTAATTTATGATATGCACCATATACATAGATATTACGACATGTATACTACAGGAGAACTTTGTCTGTATTCACCTAATTGAACTATCGAAACATGCAGAAATGTTCTAACATTATGCAACATATCATACGTCTTGTACGTACTATTTGTGTATACAGACAAAATCGTTACAGTCTCATTCTATCGAGTTACGATACAAGGGTGTCGTGGGGGGGAAACGGGGATCATACTTTTCTACGACTGAACTCATTATTATCTCCAACAAATCAAAGCAAAATCTGGGTTAATTATAACTGATAGATGTATCGAGGATCATTCACAAAAAAGGTAACTTCAAGTAATGTGCATGTTTCGTGTTGTGTACAGTATTCATTATGTGCGTTAGTTAATCAACAAAATGTATTACCCTAAGTTAGATCGTTATAAGAAAATGATGCATAGACAATCGATCGATACCTGCTCACAAGGGTCCAAAATATTTTTTAACAATACAATAACACAATAAAGTTATTCCTACAATTAGTACTTTTTGATCGTTGAATAGATAATACGCATAATGCAGATTTGACCGATAGTATGCGATAATAGGCTTGTTTTCTGTTCCTACACTAGTGAACTAGTGCAATAAATTGGAGTAAGACAAGCATATTTTTTCTCATTCTAGCTTACTGCACTAGTTCACCAGTGCAGGAACAGAAAACAAACCCAATATGTGGATTGTAATGTTTTATAGATTTGCATCTTCTAAATCAACTCTTTCTAACTTGCCTGTCCTCCGTTCTCCATAAAAAAAACATTTGAACTACTAGAATAAAAGAGAACACCTCACCTAATATTTATTAATAAACAGGATTGATAGACTGAACTTTTATACATTATTAACTATGATTGAATGTTGCTTAACATTCGGAATAAGGGTAAAATTGATCGAACAGAAACAGATAAATACGGATGACGGTTTGGACCCCTGGATAAACAACTTGATCCTCCATCACGTAGACACAATATTGTCGAAAGAATGTAAAGAAATAACAAGACAACAGATGCCTCCTCTACTTACTATTGTTGGCCATTAGGTTCTCATGCAACTTGTCCCTTTGGTCCTCCAGAACCTCGCCCAGATATGTTGCCACTTTACGCGTCACTTGCTCCACGTATCCATCAAGCTTGCCTAGGTCGTCCGACAAACCCACCAGCTGGTCCAGCGTTCCAACCTTCAGATCCGGGATGTGAAATTTGTAGTTCACCGACAGAGAATGCTGCTTAGATGTCAAGTTGTTCATAGTCTCCCACGTTTGCTGACAAGTTTTGTCGCCCGGCGCGGATATCAGCCAATACTCCGTCATCCTGAGCAATGTCTCACGACTAAATCTCTAATATACCTGAAATAGCAACAATATCATGATGCCATTTAGCTAGAAACTTTTTCAGAGACATTATCTTTAGTTAGCAAATTACAAAGGATTTCTTTCAATTATACAGGGTGATAATGTATTTATAGGGATATACAGGATCCTAATAATAAAAAATGTAAGAGAAAATTCCTTGGTTTATTTTATGAAGAAAATGTCATATAAACGTATGTCCTAGAGTGCTTGGGTTTGAAAATACAGGGTGTCAAATTGAGGAAACAAAAATACAAATTTTGAAAATCTAAGAAAATGTTTAGAGATAGGTTTCCAAATTTGGCGTACATGTAGTATCAACCATTTTCCAGTATCGATAAAACATTTTTAGGTAAAAAAAAGCAAACTGTACTACTTTTCCCTCCGACAAACAGTTATCGAGAGATTATAAGCTAAACATTGAAAAAGTTATAAATTTTCTCTTGAATATCTCAAAAAGTATTAGGCAAATCAAAAAATGTTTCAGACAAAAGTTGTTCATATTAATTAGTAGAATAAGATAGTATAATAAACGATAGGGAGTTCCATTTAAAAAAATGACGACCTCTATATAACCATAAAAAATTGTTTTTTTGAAAATTAATTTTACCATTATATAGTCCTTTTAAAACCGTACAACTTTTGTCTGAAACATTTTTCCGTATCTCCCATATTTGTCGAGATATTTCACCGGTCCGGTACTTTTTCCTCACCCTGTAGAGTTAAAGTAGGCAAAGAGAAACCTAACAAAGTATTTGTATGTTTTCTTAAAAAAAAGAATATTTTTCTCATATCGGGTTGTAAGAGATAAAGGGCCAATTTCCTTCCTGGACAACCACCTGCTGCCTATCAGGCATCCAATGAACAGATGCGCTTTGCGGCGCCTTGCATTTGCGCAGGAGACAACCCATTCGAGAGCAGAGGAGCGAACGCGATTATCGCGAATGGAAAGGCGAATTATTAAATTCACGGGACGAGCCGCACGAAAGGAGGTGTGGCATGGCGAAAATCGCGTCTCTCGTCTGCTTGTTATATAATTAGGCGCGTTCTTCACGTGACCGTACGTACGAGCGGCTCGCTGTATACCTACAGCCGATCAATATCAAGGAAGAGGTAGGAAGATGTAGAGAGAGGGAGAGAGAAAGAGAGGGGGAGAGAGAGAGAGAGAGAGAGAGAGGAAACAATTCGCGGCGACGGCATCGAGGGACGGGGCGTGTCCTTGGGCGAAATCCTAGAAGAATCTTTGGCGAGATACATAGACGGATCCGGTGATCCCGGAAGGTAGGGGAAAGGAAAATAGTCGCAATCTCTCTGGGTTGATCCCTGGTGTCGGCGGACCTCAGGCCTCCCTCGAGGATCGATAACAATCACGTGACGCGTCGTTGTCGGTGACGGCGGCGGGTGCGGAGCGTGAAGGAACATCAGGAGCAAGAAATACGAACGAGAAAACGAGGATTCTCGCTGGCGGATCGGTCGACGCGATCGCGTTGATTCATACAATTAGTAAAGTTTTATCTAGTGAACGAGATCGGACCTTGCGTCTCTCATCGAAGGCAGAAGTGTAAGGATGTAAACGCGACCACGTACCAGCGGAAGATTGCTGAATATCCTCCTCCTCTGTCTCCTCGTTGTCGACGTTGACGTGCGGCCGAGTACCAGGACGGCTCTCTAATCGGGAGACTTCAGAGGATTTCGCGGGCTGGACGACGCTGCTCGCCGACGACAAGACCATCAGAGACCATTGTGACCGCTCACGTGATGACAGATGGTGTGCTGCTGCTGCCTTACGACCCACCCGACAACTAACAAGCCGCACGACGCGGCCTGACAACGCCGTGCCGTCAGCTGACTCCGCGGCGGCAATGCTACCAACCACGATATCTGAAATCTCACGCGCGCGAGCGCCTACCTCCGGGAATTTAATCAAATTGAGGGCAACTTTCCCATGTGAATCCAGCCTTAAGCCTTGTGTCCACGATTCAAGAACTGTGTCCAAGTTCTAGTTCCGAGAAATGCGTAGCCAATCACCTTGCAGCTTTTATGGAATAGCTGCAGATTGATTGGCTACACATTTCTCGAAACTAGAACTTGGACCAAGTCCTAGCATCGTGGAAACAGGCCTTTTAGCCCGTATCAGACTACGGATTGGGATTGGGATTAGATTGAAATTTGACCAATCAGAGTAAAAGTTACTGAACTTGGGATTAGTAAACTTTACTGTGATTGGTTAAATTTCAATCTAATCCCAATCCCAATCCGTAGTCTGATACGGGCTTTAAGGTCAATGTCCACGATGCTAGAACTTGGTCCAAGTTCTAGTTTCGAGAAACGTGTAGCCAATCAGCTTTTATGGAATAGCTGCACGTTGATTGGCTACACGTTTCTCGAAACTAGGGCCGGTATTCATAGTCCGTTCTTATATTTAAGATCATCTTAAGTATGCTCTTAATGTGTTTTCAACCAATCACAGAGCTGTATTAGCGTCTTAAGACGATACTTAAGATGATTTTGAAATGAGAATGGACTATGAATACCGGCCTAGAACTTGGACCAAGTTCTAGCATCGTGGATACAGGCCTTTAGAATATATATCAGTGAGGCCAACAGAAAGTGTACACACTAGTTATACTGTGCTAGTTATACTATGGTCAAAGGTTATTTTGGCTATATTGTTTTCTGACGCACAGAAGTTATTTTAGGTCTAGTTTGGTTAGATTGTCGTTTCACTTTGGAATTAAGAAAAAAGAAAAGAAATATATACCGTAAAATATATCGAAATATTGTGACGAAGCGTGAAGCATCGTCATGGGTTGCGACGGTGGTACTATTCCTCGTAGGGACGAACTCGTGAGGGTGAAAAGAAAACCTGAACAGGTGAGGTCTATGTGTGTAAATTCACTCTGAGAAATCCGATTTTTTATTTAAAACTTGCTAGAATATTTGACATTTAAAATTGTTTTATTGTCATCGCTTTAATATATCGTCGTGTATGACGTTTTTCATATTTTGTTATTCCGCGATGGATATGTGTGTGAAATTAATTCAATGTTATTTTTTACCAAATTCAAGATTAGGTTAGGTTTAATCAAGTATTTCATTTTTTAATATTCGATATAATTTCTATTATTTTCCATGATTTTGCTCAGTTTATTTTGTCTTGGACAAATGCTAACCTCTTTCATTATCTTGAAATAGAATACACCAATTAGGTGACGTTGTAATAACTGGATAATCTGGATGGAACAATTTTGCAGCCCAAAGCACAGACAATATTTTCTTCTTGGTAGAAATATCGTGCTGAGAATATAATAAAATTTTGAAGTATATCTGAAAATCACTTTTAATTGATCCACTTTTATTATCATTTTAATATTTCATCAATTTTCATTAAAAAGTTAGTTTTTAAAGTTAATAAATTCCACATCAATGTCTAATATTTCATAATTTTTTAAATCACTTCAATTTTAACTTTCCTCATATCTCACCGTATTACATTGCATTTTGCAACAAAAATTATTTATTTCGAGATACATTCAGTAATTATTTAATAACTTATTTTACTTTTTATTGATTTCATAGTTGTAGTATTTTCGACAAAACATTTCCTTTGTTTTCTTTACGACATGGTTGTCGTGCTGCAAAAGTGATTCGTTTAGTTTTGAAAACTGGTACCACTTTTTGCACGTTTAATTAATCAGTTTTCATCGAGAACGAAATAAATTATTTTCGCGGCATTTCTTTTTTTTAATCGAGACGCGCAAAAATGCAATCCCTCAAAGACTGCTTTTCGATCATTGCGTTTATTACTGTTTTCTGCGATTTTATCGTCTACATCGCCAAAGTATCACAGTTTCAAAGATGTGCCAGTTCGTGAAAAAGATTTAATCTTAAAACTCTAAATTATAAAACATGGAGTATAAAAGTACCAATTTATTTCTATATCTAATATTTGCACTAGTAGAAGTCAATGTCGATCAATTTCCTTTTTGTTCATGCTTGTACAACATTCTAGAAGATCGCGTTTAATACATGTAGGGTTTGAAAGATCAGTGGTCGATCCAACCAATGAAGGCAAGATCGGTTGTTGATTCGGCCAGTGAAAGCAAGATCAGTGGTTGTATCAATCACCGATCTTTCAAGCCTTATAACTTGAAAAGTACTTAATGAAAAAATATTTTATTACAAGCTACAAAAATGTCTAATGAAAAATAGGAAGTTCTATTTAAAAAAACAAAGTTGATCTTTATATGACCTTGGTACGTTTACCCAATGTCAAACCAATGGTATCATCTTATGCTCTCCTTCGAATAAAACGACTTTTGTTTGAAACGTTTTTTATACAAGCTTTGGTTTTCGAGAAAAATTAATGCTCAAAATGGGCTACACTGTATAATTATTTACGGAAAGCGAATAATGTTCCGTTTGCTCATAAAATAATTGCATAACCGCTTTTGAAGTGCTTTCAGTAAACATACTTGTTTGTGAATATTATGCGGTTTACTTTTAGAATATTTCACCTCGCATAAAATCTATAATAGTATCCTCGATAATTGAATGCGTACACGTTTTCGTGTAATCGTTTGCAGAAAGACAAAGAAGCGGAGTTGGCTTTCAAGTGGAGACACTGTACGATACGACAATTGCCGCTGCAACTACCGATCGTGGGTTGTAGCTTGGGTCGTCTGTACAGCAAGGAATCCGTGCTGGAAGGTCTCTTGGATCGTAATACCCTTCCGGAGTCTGCTATACACATCAAGAACCTGAAGGATGTGAGGAACCTTAATTTAACACCGAACCCAGCGTTCGATGGCGACAAGGCTGAGAAAGGGGACGGTTACAACGACGGCGGGAAAAGCCCGTACATTTGCCCAGTCATTGGTTTGGAAATGAATGGGAAATATAAATTCTGTTTCTTATGGTCGTGCGGCTGCGTAATGAGTGAACGTGCCCTTAAAGAAGTAAAGAGTGCAGTAAGTAAAATATCTGGTGTTTTGTACAGCGGAAATAGCCGCCAACTGGACTTGAAGTTTAACAGGAAAATGTTGAATTTCGCAGCTGTGTCACAAATGTCAGCAACCGTTCGAAGAGACGGACATAGTCATATTGAATGCAGAGGGGGACGATCTGGATCTCGTGAAGGAGCGAGCAGTGCTCAGGAAAGCTGATCAAAAGAAGTCGAAGAAGAAGAAGTTGGACGATAATGTACCAGCAGAAGAGAAGGTGGACGAAGTATCCAAAAAGAAAGTGAAGAAGGAGGACAAAGTGGTCCCTAAATTGAATAACAATCACAAGGGAGCCGTTGATCCTGCTTATAAAAAAGCTAAAAGCGATTACAGCGTCGCAAAGGATCCTAAAGCATCGGAAGTTTTCAAAAGCATTTTCACTACTCATAAATCGGCTACGGAGCAAGATAAAGCACACTGGGTTACTTATAATCCGTTTTACAATTGAAGTACATAAAGTAGAATTAGAAATTATGTCTTTAGAGATAGGAAAATATGTAAAAAGCGAAAAGACAATTATATATTGTAATTGGTAACTTAAATATTTTAAAATGTATACGCGAAATGTTTAATGTCATTTATGTTATTTCGTTAGGGTTGATTAATAAAAGTAAAACCGTTAGTGATTTGTTTTATATCAAAATAATTTATATAATTATAAATTCACGTGACGTACTGTACGTTTTCAAGGCACATATCTAATTTGCATACAAGTCTGGAATTTAAATATATCTAACTTCCTAAAAACATGATTTTAAATATTTTATGTACAATATAATAGCGTAATAACAGTAATAGTTCTCGCGAAATTATCAGGTTACATTTGCGCAGGTATCCTACGCACAACCAATGCTCGGATGGCTCTAAATATTCTGAGGATAGCACGTTTTCTGCGCGAATGTCTGTTCAGTCCTAAATGATTGCACAGATACACGACAACTATCACTATAACAACTATTATTATTACGTAACTCCATTGGTGTACGATCGTTTGTTCGTCTCCCTGATTTTCTTTCGTATCATAAGCCAAGATGTCAGTATCGAGATGTTGCAACGTAGAAATACTAGCGCCACCGACTCGTCTCTTAAGCCACAAAGTGTCCGTATCCTGCAGCACTAAATTTACTGCATTCATGGTATCTCCTATAGAGAGCAACTTCTGAGGTTTGTAAAGTTCTCTGTAAAAAAGATATAAAAAACAAAAAATATTGGAGCCACAAAAATCTAGAAATGGCAGTTAATAATAACACAATGTGTATAATTTGCTTGAACATCTGAGTTATACAGAGTCGTCATCCATGTTTAGCTGACCTCTGATTCTATCCGCTTCGTCACAATATTATACAGCAATTGGAGACGTAATTTTAAAACGTTAGATTAAATGTCTTGATAATTTTCTTTAAACATGCGTTTTCGAAATCAAAATAGAAACAAGAATCGGGCGTTTAATATTGGATTGGCATTTATACAGTGTCCCAATTTAATGTCCCACCCCAAATAACTTTTTATTTTTGATCGCAGAAAAAAACGTTTCAGACAAAAGTTGTTTGGTTTCGAGGGGGACATAAGACGGTATCATTTATGTGACCTTGAATAATTGCTTGAAGATCACGTGAAGGTCACCTTAAATATTTTTAACGGAACACCCTATTGTTTATTACACTATCTTATTCTGGGAGGGAGGTCCCAGGTTCGAATCCTGGAATAGGGTGTTCGGTTAAAAATATTTAAGGTGACCTTCACGTGATCTTTAAGCAACTATTCAAGGTCACATAAATGATACCGTCTTATGTCCCCCTCGAAACCAAACAACTTTTGTCTGAAACGTTTTTTTCTGCGATCAAAAATAAAAAAGTTATTTGGGGTGGGACATTAAATTGGGACACCCTGTATGCATATGCATATGAAATTACTTACATTGGCACAGATTCGTTAACTGGTATCGGCACGGCATATATAGGGGTGATGCATAATGGAAGAGATCTGAAACTGCCTGCTGGCTCGTTAGTCATTAACACTTTACTGTGACGACTAAAATGGTTTTCCTTCATTCGACGTGGCAATTCTCCAATCTCTATATTATTGGCTGTTTTAACAGCAATGTGTTTCCCCTGATTTTCATCCGTGAAAACAGTAGGTACATATCCTGTCGTTGTGTATTCTAAGATAGCATCGAGCATCCAAAAACAGGCTAAATATGGATAGCAATGTCGTGTTAGTAAATAATATCCAAACCATAAAATTATATAATTTACAAGTTATCGAGTTCTTCAAGAAGTAACGAAAAAGGCGTGTAATATCTTGTTAAGTAAAATATGATTTATTAATATTAAGGCTCCTGGGTGCTCATTGTGGCCATCTTGAAATCGTGATGTCAGAAGCGAGAAATGACACGTAGAAAAATCGTCTGTATGTTTGTATAAAAAGATATTTGGGTGAAAACACGACAGATCGTTTCAGAATACTTGTAAAATTGGCCGATAACTATCCTTTTCTCCTGACAGTTTACCAAAAGTCGTAAAACAAAGCCTAAACACGTGGCAAAAACACGCCGTTTGACAACCATCGAAAGGAGTGGAAAATGTACTTATCACATGTGTATTCCCTGCAAATTTTATATATCGGCCAATTTTATGAGTTTTCTGAATACTAATGAGAATATTCTTAAAAGTCGCCAGCAGTAATTAACAACATCAGTGATTTTTACTGACTGTATCTGGCAATTTTAATAATACATCAAATTTATTGCGAAAAATATTACCTCAGGCAGGGTTTGAACCTGGACCTCCCTTCTCTCTAGGCGGGCGTCCCAACCAATTTGACCACCATATTTTTCGCAATATTTTCTGTATTATTAAAATTGCCAGATACAGTCAATAAAAATCACTGATGTTTCCTGAATATGTTACACGTTACAGCACAAGTGCACAGCGAATAATAACGAAATAAAACGGACGACAAAATAGGGTTGTCAGTAAGTCATGCGGTACTCTGTAAAGGACCGTCTATATTGGAAGTAAGACGTAAGAGTAAGACGTAAGAAAACCATATCCTCTCAGTGTAAAAGTTAAAGCACAGACATAATATTTTAAAATATTTATAGCACGGGTCAAACTGCGCTGTAATTCGCCGAGAGTAAAGGTCCGAACACACAAAAAAACTTAAGCAGTAAAAATGATCTACGACTGTCGAGAAGACGTAAGCAGCCATTTTGAAACTTAAGCAATGCTAAAAATTCCGATTGGTTAAAATTCTTAACGGCCTAAGCGTCAGCGCTGAAGTAGGAGTAAGAAATGGGAATGATTCATTTCTTTACTCCTACTCTTACTTCTTACGTCAGGCTTACTTCATCTATTGTAGACGATCCTTAAGAGTTGTTCGACAGTTCTTATTTTTACTGCTACAGCTCTGGCGCGACCTTCAACGCGGAGTTCTTGGCTCAGGGACCAGGAGCCTTAAGGATATTTTTCCATCAATATCGCTTATAATACATACATTTTTGCAAATGGCTATCATCGATACAATTTGAATCTCCATAAACAACGAGTCTACCGGACGTACTCGTCTGTTCTTTGGCATGATGCTTTTCGTCATTCTGATCCGCTTGACCGATCTCATTATTGATCTTATTATGTGTCATTTTAACATCCTTCTTACTAGTCACTTGTAAAAGTCCGAGTATCGGTACAAGTTTAAGTACCCCTGATTCTTTCTCCAGAAGCTCTTGACCCTGGTCGTATAACTCGGCATACAGAACGATTCCGTCCTTCGGAAATCTGAATAAAGAGAAAATCTGCTATACGCAATCTAAACAGGTTTCCCTGCACGCAAAATATTTTACCTAGTTAGTGTAGTGCCAGACGCGAATGTGACTGGCGCATGCTGGCCAAGGGTGAACTGACCGTTTCGTACTTCGTCGCCAAATGCCACACCCCAGTTAGGATAAAGCAGATCGTTTATGGCTGGAATATTGGCGCCTCCCGTTTCGGGTATCCACCATCGACGGGTATTCTCGTCGTAAAACTTGATTTTTCGCATGACTGCTATATTGTACCAGTCTGCAAATACAATTACTGATAGACCGTCCTCTTCCACATCGCGTTTTAGCTTTGCCACCTGCGATTGAAACCAATTTATCATATCGGCAGGGGAAAAAGGGGAAAGAGGAGGAGTGGGAGGGGAGGGAGTAAGAGAGACGGAGAGAAAAAGAGGATGGCAGAGTGAGGGGGGTGTGGTGCGAGAGAAAGAGAGAGAGAGAGATGTGCGTGAGTCGGGCTGGGCAGATGAGAAGAGGAGGAAGTAAGTGGATGGAGGCCCGAATCTGAAGCTCTGTAAGGCTGTAGAGTTAGTATACATGTATAAGGTAGTTGTAAGATAGTAAGTAAAGTTTTTGTATAAGATTGTAACCCTAAGGGGATCAATAAATTCAGTATCTATCTATCTATCTATCACGTCGGCATTTATATACAAAGAGGGGCAAAAGTTCCGGAACGGCTAAATATCTCAGAAAATATTGCTTTATTAAAAAAATTTTTCAAACAAAAAGAATAGGACGTAAGAAAATCTGTTAGCTATTGGTATTTATTTGACCTTGGTATGACCTTGAGAAACCCGGTCATAGTAATAAAAACGTTAAATAAAAATCACCGTTTTTTATTACATATTCTTATAACTTATCTCGAAAGCTTTCCAAAACACTGTAATAAAATTATTTTTCATTAAGTACTTTTCGAGTTACAAGACTTGAAAGTTACAGTACCGCCGGTATTCGTATTACCTAAGTCCTAAGACGTACATACATACATACATACATACCATGTTGAGGTTGCCCAGTCGAATTTACACCTCTTGCGTGCGTGCGTGTGTGTGGTGTGTGTGTGTGTGTGTGTATCACAGCAGAGATAAGGACCCCACGAATCGTCACACACACACACGCACACGCCACACGCGCACACAAGAGATATAAATCCGACTGGGCAACCTCCACGTGGTACACCTTGGGTAATGCGAATGCCGGCGGTGCTGTAACTTTCAAGTCGTGTAACTCGAAAAGTACTTAATAAAATATAACTTTATTACAGTGTTTTGGAAAGCTCTCGAGATAAGCTATAAGATTATGTAATAAAAAATGGGGGTTTTATATAACATTTTTATTACTTTGACCGGGTTTTTCAAAATCGTACCAAGGTCAAATAAATACCAGCAGCTAATAAATTGTTTTACGTCCTATTCTTTTTGTTTGAAACATTTGTCGAACAAATCAATATTTTCTGAAATATTTAGCCGTTCCGGAACTTTTACCCCTCTCTGTATACACTCACTCCAAAAAAGCGGTACATTTAAAATTTGAAAAAATCACCATATTTCAAACGACGATAACCTTGTAAATAATAAAGATAGTTTTATAAAAAATAAAGCTTGGAATTTGTGTTTTAAGAAGCGATGCATTTTAATGTTACGGCATAAATTTATTGAAAATGACGGATGACAAAAGCTTACGAAATTGAAAAATAATGGTCCGAGTTTGTCACGACACATGGCGTGAGTCAAATATCGCAAGTAAATGGCATCTGATAGTACAGAGTTTCCTCTTAAAAATGCTTTTTTATTCACCTCGATACGATGATTTTTCAAAGTTATTTACATTTAAGCTAAAACGCTGCCTTCTTATTCAAATGCGAATATCTCGGCAAAAAATCATGGTATCGTGATGGACAAAAAGAGCATTTTAAAAAGGAAACTCTGTATTATCGTATGTTTTTTATGCTACAGACTTGCGACATTTTACTCACCGACATTTTCAATACATTTATCCCGCAACATGGAAATCATTTCTTAAAGTAGAAATTCCAAGCTTTATTTTCATTTTTATAGATCTTCCTACCTTTATTATTTATGAAGTTTTCGTCGTTTAAAATTTGATTTTTTCTAAATTTATTGTACCGCTTTGTTTGGGTGTGAGTGTAGTTTTACATAGAAACACAGAAGTATGATCTTATGAGACATAAACGCATACTTCTTCAGGGAAAAATTCCTCTTCCGTATCTACGATGAGCAGGGTCCCGTAATTTCTTGCGTCGAAACAAGTGAACGGATAGCCGAGCACCTCAAGATAATATCCGGCATTACGTAAATGTTGATACATGTCTTTAAAGTTAGTATGTATATGATCTCCATTCCAGTCAAGGGGATCATTCTTCACGCGCAAATCATCCCTAGGAAAGTATCCGGGTGGATATCGCAAGTTGTGGTATTGGTCCCACAAGATGCGTTTACTGAAGAGACATAAACCAAGTTATTAAATGCTCGCGTAAACATGTTTTAGTACATTATGATCAAGAGTAGCAATTATCTAGTGCATAGTATACTTTTACTCACTGTCTAGGAGGTGTTGGTATGACCTTCGCTTGCAACGGAAGCGTAACTGTTGATTGTCGTGGCTTACCTGCGCCATCGCTCTCAACCGTAAGCGAGATGTGACCTGTGTGAAAACATAATGCACGTGAAACGTTCGCTGTAATAAAAATTGATTCGTCAGCGAAATGAAATTAATTCAAACCTTGCGCGATACCCTGCCAGTCGTGGGATGTCGACGGGACCGTTATGGCAACTGCTAACCAGCCAGACCACGGCCACAAGACATCGCTGTGCGTTATCGCCACATCGATGTGCTCACCATTGCCGTTGCCGACGTACGGATGCCAAGTGAGATTTACCACATTTCCAGCCACGCCCAAACCATTTATTATAGTTACATTGACTATTGTGGGCATACCAGTGTAGTATATAGCTTGAGTACAGTATGGCCACATATATTGGCACTCCGTCAAATCTATATAACTAATCATTGACAAAAGCAAAACATTTATTGCTGCATCAGCCAATTAAAATTTTATCGATCGTGCTCTTATTTATTTTATATGGTTAATTTATTATATTTAATGTACTCGATTGTACAAGATGTTGAAAAAAAAAGAGTAAAATTTTTACGAGGATTTAGTGTGTCCAACAATAAGTCGAAAAGTCTTAATAAACATGGGTCCACAAATAAATCGTTGTTAAGGATTTTAATTTTTAATTTTATTTTTTCTCTTAAGCGGGTTGTTGCTATGATTATTGAGGTTATTGCTCCATGAAGTATTTACACAAACTAGGTAAATTAAGTTGTCATATTATTGCAAATATCTCAAATATTACACAAATACGACACATCTGCAGACCCATGTTTATTAAGACTCTTTTCGACTTATTTTGGGACATACTAAATCCCCTTAAAATATTTTACCCTTTTCTTCAACACCCTGTATATACATATTATTATACGTATAAACGATACTTATAGTTAGCGCCAACGAATCAATGGAGTTAATTAATCGAACAGGTACAATCAAGATTAATAGGCAAGAAAAAACGCAATACTTTTTTCCATGTAGAAAGAAGAAAAGCTCACCTTGGATGGAGTGTAACGATAGGAGTGTACGACTGTAAAAAATGAAATGCCCGCAAGAGATCTAATTTTCCTGCGCCCTGCTCGAACATACCAATCCCAGGTAAGCGACGGGCTGAACTCAATAATGCTTGTTTCATACTTGCTGGCGTCACCTTAAATACATTTGTTATTACTTTCTAAGCACAAAACGCAATATAACTTTGTTCGTCCTATGATACTCTATGAAACAATATTCACGTCGGTGTGTAAAAAATCGTAATTACCTTCTCTTTATTAATTTTAGATCCGTTTGTTTCTACAAACGCACTAGCTAATAGCGCGACCGCGCCGGCAACGACGGGACTAGAAACGGAGGTGCCAGAGAGGCTTCTACATCCACTCTGCAAAGCGGACCCTCTTACCCCCGATCCGTATATGACTAGGTCAGGTTTGATTCTACCGTATCCATAAGGTAGTTCCCACGTGGTCATACCGCGTGAGGAGAATCTCGCTATCTGGTCGTCCCAATTGATGCCCCCGACAGCAATGACATCCATTTGGTCGGCAGGATTGTTTAAAGTGCTGTGCAAGAATGAGATACTATAACGTACAAATACAAACTAGTCGACACGAGAGATATTATTGCGTTTTATTTCCTCAGTTCTAGCCTTTGCAGCAAATTGTTTGTATTAACATTTTGGACGATTTCAAAATTTTGAAATTATATCGATGACAATTGTAGAACCGATATGTCAGATATGCACTTCAAGACTGCCTTTCAAATGCAGTAAAAATAAAAAGTACTGAAAATGCCTCGGAAAATGTATACTCGATGTCATACATTACATTTTTTCTACAGTGTTTAGTGAAATAAAGGAAAAAATCTATAATAAAAAAACTTATAAGTAATGAAATAATAAATTATTATATTAATACACGGCCAATGATCTGTAAAATTCCGGTTGATTTGCCACTTATTTGTGCTTGTATCGTAAAGGTAGGACTTACAAATGGTAAATTTGACAAGTAACAATGGCTCGTATGATAAATGAAATAAAGGGCTCAGAGCCAGAACAGGATAGTAGTGTTAAAAAATCTTTAATTATAAATGGATACCTATAGACGTTTCGGTCCTTATTGGACACCATCTTCAGTATACTAAAAAAGAACACAATTTAAAACATTATTAAGCTAGGAATACAAATTAAAATGTAAAACAACATATACGCAGTCGGTCCGATAAGATTCTAATAAATAAAAAGACAGAACATATTAAAAGATAGCGCAGTCAAACAAATTAAAAGTGTAATATACAATAAAACGCAGGTATATAAAGTAAAACCGCAAATAAATTAAACGCATTAAGTTGACAGAAAATACTCTAACAAACAAGAACAAAATAAAACCTATACTGAAGATGGTCCAATAAGGACCGAAACGTCTATATCCATTTGTAATTAAAGATTTTTAAACACTACTATCCTGTTCTGACTCTGAGCCCTTTATTTCATTTATTTGGTAAATTTGACTTTTTAGTGACCAAAGTCTGTATAGGTTTGGCATTATGAGATTTATACTTGGGAGTGTTTTCTTGTGAGAAAAACCACTCAAAACACAATATTTGCTAAACTAATTGTAAGTAAAATATGTTTAATTAACATAACGCTGAAGGAATGACCATGTTGAGGACAGAAGTGATTTCCAACTCTGGTATTATGAGAGCCTAAAGAGTCATAAACTCTTCTTTAAATAAATTGCAATATTACTTTATTTACCCATACAAAGGTCCATCATTGCCGATCGCTGACACCATAATGATACCATTAGCTGTCACCTCCCATACTTTATCGACGAACGGTTGGTCCATAAAATCTGGACCACCAATGCTCAGATTTAACACCGTTACCTTGCGAAATATGGCATGATTGAACGCATCCAAGAACCACGAGGTGTAAGATACCTATTACATTTCAGGCAATGTAGAGATCCCTTCAAGCGATAAACTCGCAAGTAAGAGGGGAGAAAGGCACGAGGGGCCAAAAATACCTGAGCGTTCGTAAAAACGCGGAAGATATACAGATCCGCATCCGGAGCGAAGCCGAAACAGTCTCTGGAGGAGGATGCGATAACACCGGCTACAAACGTCCCGTGGCCCAGGCCGTCCTCCCGAGTGTTTTCATTTGTCCAGTTTATCCTTTCCTTGATATTCTTGAAATGCGGATGACTAGCAGCAAGTCCGGTGTCGAATATCGCTACTTTTATATCTTTCCCAGTAATACCCATTCGCCACAGCACATCAGCTTCAAGCATATACGTGATTTGCTTCGGTATAGCTCGCAATAATTTTCGAGATGTGTGTCGGTTCGTTGATTGTCCAGGCTGAACGTTCTGAAATTAAAGCCCCCTCCCCCTGGTAAAAATTTTTCTAAGAATTTTTCATGTATTTTTTATGTAAATTTCACAATTTTCAGATTTTTTTAAAATCTTTTTATACAAATGAGTACACTTTTTAAAAATACCGAGAAAGTTTATATCTTTTTAATTTAAAAAAAGATGTTTATACCTTTTTTTTAGAATTTTCTACATGTATGAATTCTCAAGTATTCTGAGATTTCTTATTCTATAATTTCAGACGTAATTTTATAGGATTTCAGAAAGATTTTTAAGTTTTTCAGAAATTATGGAATAAAAAATCTTAGAAATGGAATATTACAGAATATTCACGTATATGGAAAATTCTAAGAAAAGAAGTGGACTTTCTCGGTATTTCTACAAAGTGTACCAATTCGTACAAAAATTCTGAGACAAATCTTCACCAGGGCCTTATTTCAAATCCTCTTTTATCGACAAAAGCCTCAACGGAAGAGCTTTCTAGCCAATAAGAATCCTTCAAGACCAATTTTAGTGGCACTTTTATCAATAAAAGAGAACTCAGACTACGGGCCCGAGTCTTTTTGCTCAACAATCCTTAGATAAGTATCGTTCAACGCCAAAACTTTGCACAGCTCCACTTTATAACTTGATAACATTTCGCAAGTTCGACAATTCGCAAACTTACGTGATCGTTGATTCTTCTTCTGGAGCTTCTACGTGCTAAGACGTCATCAGAATGGGTCGACGTCCTGTTGATAAATTTTAGAGTTCTATGTATAAGTCTCTGCGGTAGCACGGTCTTTACCAGAGGGTGATTACTCAAAGCTCTAAGCCCCTCATGCTTGTCAGTTTCGCTTAAGTGTACGATATCAAAGTCGCTGGGATACATGGACGCAGCATTGTTACGCGGTATGATCCTCCAGTTCTTAACGTTGGACGAGTTCAGGACAGATCCTATGTAATTCTCTCGCGCGTGTATTCTATAGTAGCCGTTGAATTTGATTATATACTCATTCTCGACTATACTAGAGGAAAATGCGACCTGGACTTGTCGGACGTTGTGGCAAGAGGAGTCCGAGGACCCGGGTTCCTCGCGTTGCGGAGATTCCGCGATACGTTCGCTGTCACCATACCCTTCAGAGCTGCCGCCCGGATAATCACGGTTTGACCCACAAGAGACGCAGAGCCAAAGTAACACAGAGACGTATAGCAGACATGTGTGTAGCTTCATACTATTGATTCTGACCGAGAACTGTGCTTCATATTTGGTCAAAGTTGTTGCGAATGCCAAACTAACATGTGAAAATATTTACGACTCCGAGGGCAACTCTTCCCTTTTTTTCGTCCCTTAATTTTCTGAACGAGACCGCTCCTCTTTCGATCGTATACTTGTATTCGTGTGATGGAGAATTGGGTTTTCGGAATCGGCCGGTGGCGTAGCTCAAAATCAAGCCGTTGGATCGAATAGTGGCGATTCAAGCGATCCGAATTAATACTGAAAGCAGCCACGATCGTTTGTTCAGGCCTTTCATGAGCATCCTTCACATCCTAACCTGGACAAACGGTCACCGCGTAAAGGTGACGTAAAACATTTCGGATGATTTACAGAGCGCATTTTAGTTGCGAGTTGTTTCACGTCGTTGCGGGAAAGATTGATATCGTATGGACGTGGCTAATTCACATTTGGACACAGCTTGTTAATAAGTGAAATGTGTACATAACCAATGTCGTTATTATGAAACGGATAAAAGCACTTCTTCTTTTACTTGGCAACAATGTCGCCAACTATGGGCCATCGCACACAAAATTACATAAAGGTGCATCTTCATGCTGACGCTTGACCACTGAAAACGGTATTTATCGGCAGTACTTGAAAATGGGTGTAGCGGAATAGTTCCAAAAATGGAAATGGGCGTAAGTCCCAGTCTACAATAGAGATTTAAGCCCTAAGCCT